TAGTTAGGATAGACGGCTACCACATGATAATCGAGCAGAGGATGCGCAACAAACACCAGAATGCCCACAGCCTCAGCATGAAGACTGAGTTTTATGGAAGACTAGAACAGAAACAAGCCAATCAGGCGGAAATCAAGGAAGGGTTCTCGTTTCTGGACACAGAAACTTATGAAGCGCTTTCCTCGACAAGATGGTTGGACAAATCTGGACATCCAATTCCGGGACATCCCGAGTTACCGGTGGAAAAGGCAGCAGGAAAAAAGATCTTATCAAAAAAGGACCCGGTGGCCTTCGGATCTGTTGCTACGTTCGAACCTGGTTCAACAGGAACTCTCTCGCATGCTCATTAGCAGCCCCTCATTGCTGGATAAAACGGTGCAGGTCACTCCGCAAAAGATGCGGATGCTGGGTGAATTGTTGGAGACAGAAGTGACTAGAGATGACCACGTATGGGCAGCAGCCATGGCATCCTTGACAGTCAGTGCGAAAGTAAAGATTAAGCCATCAAGACGACGACACAAAAAAAATGAAAGGGATTGTAGGACGATAGTTCATCAACTATCATCCTCGATACCCCAAAACGTCTTGACGAGCACATCATATAAGCGAACAGAACAGGTGAAAGGGACACAAAGGAAAACCGTTACCTTTAAGGATCAGTATCAGAACGGTGAAGAAGTTGAACATAACCTGGCGCAAGAAAGTTTGTCCGGGGAAAAGGAGGTTGATGAGGACAGACGAGTTAATCAACAAGACCCGGGATAAGAAAGTTTGTCCGGCGAGTCAGATGTTCAAGGTGAAGAACAAGACCTGGAGATTGAAATTTTGTCAGGGGGGTCAGATGGATGAGCGGAAGGCATAAAACTGATCCCGAAGAAAAAACATGCTCAGTGGCAGATTCTTCCGTTGATGACATCTCGAGGAATTAAGGGATTGACACTTACTGAGACAGGAACTCGAGCACAGGATCGAAATTCTCAGAGCTAGCGATCCACACGTTACTAGTGGAGACTCGAGCAAGAGACATGGACAGAGAGGTATATCAAGACCCCGTCTGTGATCGCTACCTAGTACCCAGCAAAACAGTCTTCGACAATGCAGCGGATGATCTAGAAACAATAGCGGTATTGAAACAATCGATGAGTTTGTTGCCGTAGAATGAAGTAGTCAGGACTGATCTTCAATCCTTCAGACAAGAGACAGAGCCGTTGGCGAAGATTTGGTGCGTAAAGATGGAAGATTATTTCATATATCAGTCGTCAGTTGGATTGTTTTGCGTCAATAAACTTCGGAGTGAATAAACTCCCGGGTTGTTAAAAAATGACTATCATCCTCTTTTTTTTTGAAAAATTTCATAGATCAAAGTATATGAAAACAGCAAAATAAGCACTTTTTCCATACTATGAAATTGTATGATAAGCATTTTTTCCATCCATCAACCCCAACACTAGCAATGGATTTTTTGTCATAAAAATCCCAGATTGAATAAGCTATTGCCACGCAGATGAACTGCAATTAGTGAATTTAGCCAAAAAATTTAATTTTGAAATTTTCAAATGGAACTATATACCAAAATTAACTTTTTGAATTTGGCTAGTTAGTTTTTAGTTTAAAATTTAGTGGTTGAGAAAAAGGGCCTATTTTTTTTTGCAAATTTATGGTGAAAAACTCATCCTGGACTACGGTAAAAACACAAAAAGTCAAATTTTGCATGCAAATTTTTTTTTTCGTAAAATTTATATTTGAGCACAAAAGCAAGTTTGCAACCAAAAAAGGGATTAAATTTTTTTTTACCTGAAAAGTTTGTTTTTGTTAATGACAAAAATGCATATCATACAATTTTCATACATGAAAACTTCATAATAAGCACTTTTCTGACCAAAATTGAAATTTGTTTTTGATTGTCAAAATGCCCTCTATCATAGATATAATTAATCAAATATATTTAAAGTTACCCGGACACGTTTTTTGGTGATTTTGAAAATTTTGTTTTTTTTCTGCGACAAAATCACTATCTTATAATTTTTTTACATAAATGTTCAAAATTGTATGATAAACGCTTTTTACCAAAATATCAGATAATTTTTTAATGACCAAAAAGCTTCCGAAGAGGCTATTAATTAAAACTGTTCTTAAAAGTTTTTAAAACACTTATAAATTTTGTTCGAATTTTGTATGAGAAGCCTTTTTCCCATAGATTTCAATTATGAAATTGTATGATAAAATTTTTTTTCTTTAAATGTCAACTCGGGTTGCTTTCAGAATCTGAGAAACAAAAAAAATTGTTCAAACGGCACTTAATGCTCATTTTGACGAGGAGTGTCCTAATTGTATTTTTCCCACCAAGTAAATCTTAACAAAACGTTTTCACCAAAATTGAGCCCTCTAAGGAAACAAAAAAAAACTTAATTAGGATGCACCTAGTTTTACTTAAAGACTAATTTTCCAATTTTCTTCTTTTTTCTATAGAAAGTCAGTTATAAGGTTAGCTGGATGCTGTGACACTAATTGTTTTCAACTTACCGTTTTTTGTTCGTGTTGCGCTGAAAAGATCTATAGGGAAGAAAATAACTCTGGCTTATTTGACAAACATACTAAATTCAGCATAGTCGGCAATCTTTGATCTTGAAAAAATCAAAGGAACAAAAAAATTGAGCCAAATTTTTGTTTCGAGTTTTAAATTTTCTAATTGAGATACTCCGATTTTTGTTAGTCGCTTAAGAAAAATTGCCTAAGCGTCAGGTTTGAATTAAAGCTTTTGTATGATTATACGTCTCCTCGCTCGCTTACTGTAAATTAAAAAAAACTGAACCGTTTTTTTTCTATCACTTTTATGCACACCAGAGGTCTTACCCATCATATTTAGAGATAAGAAATAAAACTTCACGAGTCCAAATTGTGCATTCTTTGCATTGTAAGCGGATTCCGCAACAGGCCCAAATCAGATTTGTCGCAGAATCCACAAAATTGTTACATTTATTTGATCTTTTTTGCTGTTTTGGATTCCACAAACAAATACCTAAAACACTGTACCGTTCAAAATTTTGAGATGTGTGTTTAGCTGAATTGAATTGTTGCAAATCCGCAATTGTAAGCGGAATCCGCAAACTGTAAGTTGATTTCGCAAACTGTAAGTGGAATCCCCAAAATGTGAATGGAATCCGCATTTTATTTGCAGATTCCGTTTACATATATGTATGTGTAGTAGCGTTTATTATATATCTTTTAATTACTACGTTGATCAGCTATCAGTTGGAATGCCAAAGATTTGATCTCAATTCCTGGTAAACACCCAACTTCGATCTCAAATCCTGTCGAACATAACCAACTTTGATCTCAATTCCCGACAAGCATACGCAACTTCGATCTCATACCAATTCTTGAAAAACTTGTCAAACATACCCAGCTTCAATCTCACTTCCTACAAATGTTATTTTCGATCTCAATTCCTGTTATCAATCTCAATTCCTTGTTCATCATTTTAGTTCAAGCCATTCAATTTTTTATAAAAGCGTTTTAATTTAGCCATTTTGAAATATTTTCAAAATGCGAAACCAGAACAAAAAGTTTGAAAGAGCAGCTTTTTCAGGACTACTTATTCGTGTTTTTGAAGTTAAAATTTAATTCTGCTCTAACTCAATCTTGGTAATTTTTATCTAATACTAATTTGCTCAAATTATTTAAATAGATCAATCACTCCCTGTGAACAAAATGTTTTGAATTCACGCTCTCAAATACTGAATCTCAAAGTTAAAATCCCAAATACTGAATCTCTCTTACTGAAGCCCAAATACTGACCTAATTCGGTGATATGTCAACCCAATAATGAATCAACCCAATTACGGATATTAACCAAATGAATTTATTCGTTGTTGTGTTTCCAAAACTATGATCCATAAAACTGCTTGCAAATACTAAAGCGTGAAATCCATAGTTGTAGTTAACCAATGTTTTAAGTTTTGATCGTAGATTCCACAGACAATGGTTAAATCCCTGCTTTTAAGTTCCGCATGTGCATAAGCAAATTCAGTAATAAACAAATTTCTTAATTCATTACAGTTTGCGGATTTCGCTTACAAATTTTGCGAATTCCACTTACATTTGCGGATTCCACATAGATCTTGCGGAATCTACTTACAGTTGCGGAATCCAGAACAACTAGCTATATTTGCTTGTCGCGGAATCCTCAACAAATTAAATGTTCCGACAAAATTTACCTTACAAATATATGTACACGGAATCCACGTAAATCTTGTATGTGGAGTATACCTACATTTTGGAACATGTTTTAAAACTTGTCTCTGGACTGCAGCATCTTACATACACAAAACTGCCCGCTTATCTAGTGCACAGTTTGGCCTGGTAGTGAAAAATGTTTTTTTAAAGTTTCTTAATATCAATGAAAAAACTACTGGAAGGTTTTAATATTTGAATGGTTCTTTGTGGTACGTTCTTTTGCGTGGAAAAAAAAACTGAAAACACCGAAACAGATTCAGAGACAAAGTTCCTCCCCGCTTTAAGTAGTGGGAATAATAATGATTCACTCGTCGTAGCTAAAATTGGTTGCATTGATTTGTGTTAGGTTGCTTAAATAGTTTGCGACGGAAGTCGATTAAAATTTTTGAAACATTTTTGAAAATACTCCCCCCCCCGTCCAGAAAATCCATCCTTGACTCGCCATTGATAATATTCACCCGGTGAATTATCAATTCGGGTCTTATTGTCAATCCTGTGGTTTAAGATGATATGATTTACCAAGTTGATCTCTGAGTGTGCAGAAGATACGCGTCTGGGGCTGTTGGAAACTTTCTTAGTTGCAATTTTCATAAAGCTACAAAAATTAGCACAGATTCTTTGACATTTCACACCTGATCATAAATAAAGTGATGCAAATCAGAGACTCAGTCAGCATTGACAAAAAAAAACAGAAACTTTTCTCTGAAACAGCAATGATTCACTAAAAGTTTAACACTTTTTTGTTCAATTTTGTACTTCGTAAATCAATTATAATACCAACTTCACACGTAAAATACTGTCAAAAACTCTTTATTGAACTATAATCTTTGTTTTTACTATTTCAAGTTGCTTAAAATTACTGATGTCACCAGCATTTTGACATCAAATGTACATCTAAAATAGTATTAGAGGTCAATCTTCGCTTCGTTTCTCTTTGAACTTGACCACCTGGAAGATGGCTTAGAGTTGTGTTTGTCCCTGAGGTGATTGGCATTCACCAGTACTTCTGATCTTTTGGCCAGTGATCCTCCCAGCTGGTGAGCTGTTTGGTACATTTTGCGCACGTCTTCATTTAACTGAACAAAAAAATTCCTGTAAGGTAATCAGATAGTAATCAATTATTTGAAAAAAAAAACACCATTTTTTGAACCATTTTCATTTCACGAAAAGTTCTAATTCAGCTAAAAACATTCATTGATATGAATCAGTAAGTGAATGTTTGATTAAAAAAACATTCTGTATTAATTCGAAACGTATTATTTCCTCGAAGTATGTTTCTCAAAGTATGATTCGGTAAGTATTCAGTAGATTGCAAACAAAAACATACTTTGATGTGAAACAAATTCTATTCACCAAACATTTTCCTTGAGTGAAACTAAACTCGTTGGGATTAATCAGAAAGTGTTCGCTCGAGCAAAAAAAAATTGATTCTGAAAAAATTCTTCAAACAATGGAAAGCATCCGTTTTTTTTTCATTCAGTTGAAAAAAAAATAATTTGAAAAATTTTTTGTTTAAAACGTTCAAGTTCACATGAAAACAATGCTTAATAAAATGAATCGAAAATTTTTGAACAAAAAATCGGTCATTACCGTAACAGATTGAGTAGGGCTTTATCAAGGATTCGGCAATGGGGCCATTTTTTCCATGATCTTTTTACAGTTGCGGAAATTTAGAGAATAAAATTTAAAAAGAGAGTCTGAAATTTTTTATCGTTTAAAGCAAAAAACATGTGAAATTTTTCCACAAATTGTGCTGAATCCAAATAAAAATAAGGAATTCAAAAACAAACACAATAGTTTATGCAGTTGATTGCGCGGCACGGGATTGTCACAATATCCGCAGTTTGAACTGAATCCGCATTGGTGATCAAATTTGTTTTCAATTATGTGGAATAAGCATTCATTTGCTAAACCCACTAAGTCATAATTGATCCAACTTTCGATACAAAAAAAAACGGAATGTTTGTGCTCGGTTTGGGTTTTTTCTTCAGACAAACTTTGACTATTTAACTGGCCATTTTTGATGAATTTTTGATATCATTCGAAACTTATGAGCTTAAATTTGAAAAGGCATTTCACCTGTGATCAATTTTCGTAAAGTTATGGGGTCTTAAGATTGCTAATTCGTCCAATTTGGAACAATTAACCAGCGATTATATTTCGCGCTGTTAACGCGTAGGCGGAGATTTAATCCGTCTTAGAAATCGTTACAAGTTGGTGGTTGAAACAAGCTTCTTTGCCATAAATGATTTGTTACAAGAAGCAAAATCTATCATTTTGTACTTTATATGACTTGTTGGGGGATGATTTTCATGAAAAATTTCAAATAGTCTGTATATAAGTTTTCTTATTAGTCTGCATTTAAGTTTTGAAAACAATCGGACAATGTGGTCAACAAACCTACTTGTAAAATTTTCCAGGTGAGGGGAAAAGGAAAAAGAGCCAATTTATGTTATTAAAGCTCCATAAGCTTTAAAAGGAAGTTGGAACATTCAGGGCTGTGCCCTGATGCGAGCAGTCTTGTTGTTATTGTTCACAGTGGAATTGCGCTGTCAGAGAGCCCGCCTTTTCTAAGCAGGATCCGCATTTTTTAAGCAGTAATGGTTTTTTGTCAACGCAATCCGGGTTTTTTAAATCAACCCACTAAGTGATGCGAGATCCATTTACAAATTGCGGAATCAACTCACAAATGTTCTGAATCCACAACAACTTTCCAAATTCACTCAGTGCTGATGCCGAGACACCATTAAAAGGACGAAATATTTTGCGCTACGAGCTTATTTTTGTTTCCAAAATGGTGCTGAAGTACTCAAAATACTAACTTTAGCTGAGCAAAACTGCCTAAACGCTATATTAAGCCTTTAAGCGGAGTAAATTTTACCGCCTAAATTAAGTAAATTTCACCGCCTAAATAAAGTAAATTTCACCGCCTAAATTAAGTAAATTGAGTAATTTTTCCCGCCTAAATTAATCATATGAAAGCCTTTAAGCTAATAAAAAAATATATTCTAAGCCTGCTCGCTGATTCAAAGTTAGACAAAAAATCAAAATTTCAAACCAATTTTTCTCCGCACTGAGAAAAAACTTTTACATTTTTAAAGTCGACCGAATCACGACTAAAAGTATCATTATTATAGCTTTCGGGGATTGCTTGTCTAGGTCTGTTCTCGCTCTCTAATTTAACGGCACCGCAAAGTGGCCCCTTTGGTAGTGAATTCAACGGGGCGACCGAGATTCACTACTATCCACAATCCCGAAAGGGCTAAGTTGGTGGCAACTACCCCGTATTGTATTCTGTCACTTGCCCCTTTCTATGCTTCTCATGCGGCTGTCTCGTTCACTCTCGCCGATCACACGAAATTTCAGCAATAATTAAATTCAAAAAATTATTGGCCTAAATGCAGAAGGGTCTAGGCGGCCCAAATTTAAATATTGTCCAATCAAAAGGAAAGGGTCCGCGATCAATCGATACAATTGCCTAATTTCAATTCGAGTTCCAAATAACTTAGCCAACCATTGTCTCATTTCTAGAGAATCTTAATTAATGAATTACCCAGAGTAATTCCGCTTAATCACTCAGTCCGACCTCACAATTCCTGATTCTCTTACTAACTGAGAACAAACCGCTCGTTCTCACAGCACAATTGTTCTTCTCTAGCTAACGAGAACCGACTGCTTTCCCCAGGGTTAGGGAAAGGCCCTTTTTAGGGGTCGCTAACTCATCCTAAGCATCTAACGTTCCGATCTACACTCTATTCTAATCCCGACCTTCTGGCTATCAGGGAAACGTAATTCGCTTTTAGGGGTCAAATGGTGCCAAAAAGCCACCTCCGGGGAGCTACGTAAGTATCCCATTCATTCATGTTATTTAGGAGTCCTACTGTCAATATATATGCTATACCTCAGTTACTGTCAATTACCTCTGGGACTACTTTTCTTTTACTCCTTTCTCCTAGTAACTAGTAACTTTCTCCTTGCTCCTAGTAACACATCAATTAAGGCAACTAAGCTTCCTTCAACCAGTTTGGAACAATTTCTAAGACGGATTAAATCTCCGCTCACGCGTTTATAGCGCGAAATATATTGCGCGTTAATTTTCCATAATCTTTAAACCCCCCCTAAGTTTACGAAAAATGATCACAGGTGAAATATCTTTTCAAATTTAAAATCAGGACAACAATACCTTTTGAATGATATAAATAAAATATCCCGTCAAAAATGGCTAGTTGAAATGTCGAAAATTGCTTGAAGAAAAAAACATACCCCGAGCGCAAATATTTCGTTACTTTCGCTACGAAAGTCGGAACAACAAGGATAGCCGGAAAACAAAAAAAAAACTAAAATACTCCCGAAAAAAAACTTTTTCAAATGGTCGAAACAAATACAATTTGCAATTAATTAGCTCTTTTTTATCATGACTAGTTTTGAAAACTGAATTCTACAACACTAAACTGTAAGAGAACTAGGAAAAAAGAACGTAGACAAAGTTTGCCCAATTTTTAAAAGAAAATAATGTTAATCCGTTTCATAAATTGTACCTGTTTTTTGCGTTCGATGAAATCGTTCGAAGAAATTTCTGTGAACATCGAAACGCTTTCCCTGAAAACAGAAAACCATTACTAATTGCGCAAAAAAAATCTATAGCAAACAAAGTGTATTCATCTTTTCGCTAGATCTTTCGCAAGACATCTCAAATTTCAACAGTGTTTGCTTTTTGGTATTGCTAGCCAGATTATCGATACCAAACATATTTCTGCAAACCGATTTTTGAAATTAATTTGTCTTCGTGGGTTTCCAGCCTGTTTAACGAGTGAGTGATTTATTAACTGGGAAGATACCAGATTATATATTTATAGTAATCAGATTAGATAGTATATAACCTTCCAGTTTCGTAATCAGGCTCATCGGCTGTTTTTCGGCCACTTCTCGAAACCGGATCTGCCATTCCGATCGATGACTCATTCCGTAAACTGCCCGAGTCCCGACCCAGTTTCGAACTAGTGTTCCTTGTTTCCGATACACGTTGGCTTGTTGTTGTAACACCGGTTGAACTTTTCTTTTTTCGTTGTTCGGTCAATGATCTCTGAGACCTCTGTGACCTTGCTGACCTCTGACCTTGTATTGACCTTGATGAAGTAGGAGAAGGTCCGACCAAGATTTGAATTTCGTTGCTCAAGTTTTCGGCAAGTTTAGTCGTTGTGCTTGCGCTTGACAGTGGTCTGAAAAAATCAAAATTTGATGATTTTAAAAGAAAAATAGAGAAAAACTCCGACTTAGTGATAGAATTGAAAGCAAAACATTTTTTATTGATGTATTTTTTAAATCAATTTACTTCATTGAACCAATGGCCTCATCTTATTTTGGATTCAGTTATTGTTAAAAAAAGTAGTTTCGGGCGCGTGTTACTATCATTGATTTGAAACACTTTTTTGAAGAAAGAGGAAAGATTAACTCAACATCACGTCTAAATCGACAAGTATGTATCGTTAAAAATAGCTAAAAATGTTTTCAGAGCTTAGAAAAACGGCTTAAGTGAAACTTGTTAAAATAATCAAATCGCTCTTGTAATCGACTCTATAATAGGCCTGCTTGCTCTCATGTTTTCTCATAATATATTAAGAAACGTCGTCAACAGACAAAAAAGTCATTAAATGCGAGGAAACCGAAAAAAATTATCGAAAAAAGACACGTTTTTTTTTTACAAAAGGCGCTTTCTAACTTAAAAAAAAAGAAGTTTATGCCCTTGAAGCTCGTGGGTTTCATTAACAAAATATGATTGACACTTTCCTGAAAAATTCACTTAATTTAACACTTTTTCTGTTTTATACTAGTTCACCATTCCTCTTGGCAAAGGAAAATATTTGAATTTAAAAAAAAATAAAAAGGCAAACTGCGAAAAATTGATTTTCAGCGTGAAAAAACTTCAAAACTTTTCCTGAAAAAAAAATAAAACTAAAAAAGGCATAAAAGGAATAATAAAAGATTGAATACAATGTTTTTTTCCACTCAATACAAAATCTTTAAATTGGTTATTCTCGACGATGATAAAAGTTTCGGGAAAAATATTTTATGTGCTTCGAATCTGGATTAAAAAATTTTATTGTGATATATCACTGGACACAATACGATGGTTGTTTGTGGTACAAGTTTTTACGAGAAAAAAAACTAGAAGAAAAATATAACGCAACTGAAGACAACGTTTCTCCCCACTTTCAATACACAGAACAAAAAATCATAGATGGCTTCTGACTTGGTTAAAGAGACAGTTTTTCGGCCAATTTACTTGTGCAGTCAAACCGGAAGCAATTTTGAATTGTTTATATTTTTGAGGTCCAACATCTTTTTCGAAAGATAGTTCGAAAGTTAGATCAAAAGATGGGCCCCCAATTTCCTAAAAAAATTTAAACAAGAGTTTTTGCCCAAGAAATGACGCAAAAAAGCCAACGTATAAAATGGGTTTCTATACCGAGGCGGATCTAGGGTTTTTCGAGGGGACGGGCGGACTTTCAAAATTTTTTTACGGGCGGATTTTTTTTTAGGTAGACCAATTTGACTTGGAGCGCTCCCAGAAAATTCAAAAGACCCAGTTTGACAAAAAAAAAATTTTGGAAAATTTTGATTAAAACTGCGTTTTTTCTTCGCACGCTCTCCATCAAACTTTGAATACATTAGCTTTGGTCGGTCTAAAATGGATATCATAAAAAAATACCAAAGGAGGACCCTTTAATTCGTCAGGGGTTCGAATCACTGAAGGAAGAAGCGTTAGCTCGGATTGCAGACAAATGCACTAGAAAGAAAAAAAAATGCAGAAAAAATAAAAGTTCTGAAATTTCTTACATATACATTTTTAGCGGTTCGAAAAAGTTTTGGAGACAAAAAAATTGAAATTTAAAATTCATGAATTTTGTTTAAAAAATCCACGTCAGCATTACCAATCCCAGAAATTAACAACAAATTGCAAATACCAGCGGCGCAACAGCAGCTCTCCGTAGATTAACATTCTCATTAAAGCGTTTCTATCTCGTGGATAAATCGCCCGATTTATGAACCAATCAAAATGAACTTGTTGGAACCCTGTTTTTGAAACTGATGACATTTTTCCGGGGCTAAAATCTTTTTTATTGATTTTTCAGTCAGGCTTTTTTAATTTTTAAATGATACCCCAATTAGCCTGCAAAATGTAACGTTTAAAATAGTGATTAAAATAGGCGCTACAGTGCCAGAGCATAATTGACCATTTTTAAGCTATTCGAGCTATTTTGCAACTTTTCCCGCGACAGGAAAATCGGAACAGCAATTTAAAGTCTTATAACATTCAAAAAAATTCATAAAAGAGTCTGAATTGACTCTTAGAAGATGTAAGAGTTTGCTAAGATCTCAGATTTAATCTTACAAGACATAAGATTCTTATAAGATTCTGAGTTTTAGTAACACCCGGGAACCGATTATTAACATGATTTTTTTTTAAAAAAACAATAGTTTTGTTTTGATTTTCAAACGTTTTTCATACTCCTACAAAAAATCCAAAAAACTTCAAACCCACCTTAGAAAATGGGGTGGTTTCTTTGGTGCTGATATCTGGAACGCCGTCTGCAGCTGTTTAACTGTGGCAACGTATAGCGCGCTGGATTTGATCTCGGCTATCTGTTTTCCAGGGAATAGTCTGGCGATTAGGGAAAACAACTCCTCGTTGTTGGGACTCAAATGCATGGCGCACAGGACATCTTCCCTCGCTCCTTTTTTGAACTAAGCAGAGCTTTTTCTTCATATCTATTGTGATCTTTTTATTTTGAACCTTATGGAACAAAATTCAGATCTGAGATGAGCGAAAAGCACCAATTTGTAATATATTCAATGAATTTGAAGAAAAAAATTGTTTCCTCTTCTAATAGATTTCATTGATTTGTTCATGAATTCTAATGTAAGTTTGTTAGGAGAAGAAAACTTTACGGAACATTGAACCTGTTTTAGCTATTTTTGAAAGCCAAAAAACGCATCGAGCGCGGATATAGGAATTGGGCACTTTTGGGGAAATTTACACCAAAAAATCGTGTTTTTTGGCGCTCTCACCCCCCTCTCTCAAATCCGCTACTGAAAAGCATATTAAGGCGTGCTAATTAGCTGTAATTGCAAATGTTTTTTTTATGAATCTTTTATGAACTCATGCAAACAAGACGAATCATTAAAAAAATAGTGCTCAATTCAAGTAATTTATTAATCATTTATTGTCAAATAAAACGGGAAAAGAACTTCTCTCACATCCAGAAGGTGTCTGACTCTGGCTCTGGATATGTAGTATTGGGACACTTTTGGGTTGTGGTGCAATGCGTGGGTGAATTTCTCCTCCGCCTCCAAATACCTCCTCTCAAAGTAGTCCATGATTGCAAACTCATTGAATATCACTGAAGTGTGTTAATGTTAAAGAAAATTAAAAATTGTTCTAACAAAGGGAATAATTAGTTCATAATTCACGAAAGTTTAAAATTATAATACAAAATCCCATTTTAGAAGTGCCCATCCCAAAAGCAAAAAGACCAGTTGGATCGCATGTTATCTTCAGGTCTACTTTTTTTCTAAAATTTTTTATGTGTTTGAGTATATTATTGAGTGATTTTTCTTCCAAAACTTTTTGAATACTTTTAGTGTAATATGTTTTCGGGCTTTCGGTAATTATCATTGTTATGACTGTTTTAGTTTTGCCAATCAAATGGCTGGATAGCTAAAAAATTAGAAAATTAAAAGTGAGGGATGTAACAACACATTATACCCCCGTCTTCTAGAACTTTATGAGTGACGGGTTTTCCAACGGTATTTTTGTTTTCCAGTAGGTAATTTTTGTCAATAAAAAACAATAAAATGATGTTTTAGAGAATTTTTTAGACTTTTTCTTGAAAAAATGCGATTTTTTAGATGTGTGTATTTAATTAATTAATTAATCTAAAATAAATTTGAGCCGGAGTTCCTTGAAAAACAACTGTTTGATTTCCCCAAAATTTCTTTCACTATACTGACGAGAAATGCGTGATTTAATGTCCCAGTCGTCGGAGTCCAAGTCCAGAGCCTGCTGGTAGTCGGCCAGTGCGAAATGGTAGTTTTTCATATGGAAGAAACAGTCTGAATATAGAAAAAAGCAGCCAGTTCAATCCTGCATTTTTTTTGTCCAGTTCAACCTTGCATTTTTTTTGTCCAGTTCAATCTTACATATGGGAGTAAAAGAACCCATAAATTTTTTGGACAGACTCTCTGCGATTGGAAATAACTTCAACTTATTGTTAGGATATGGTGCAAAATTTCGCATGATATTGAAATTATAAACTACTATTAATAAAATGGTTTAGGATTTTCTCGAGGGGGAGATGAGGGCTAGATTTTCAAACTTTTTATCAATTTGGGCATATTGAATTCACCTTATTCTTGATCACGTGAAATAATTCATACCTCCTCTGTTGATATAAAGTCCCTTTTCGTTTTTCTCAGCTCGGATTGATTTATTAAGCAGAGAAATTGCCTCTTCGAAATATCCCTTGCCGAAACACTCAACTGCAAAGTCGTTATAACTCAGAATAAGTTGTCGCATTGCATCCCGGTAGAGAGAAGAGGATTCGTCGTGGTCTGTTTTGTCGAGAGCCAATAAGAAGTCGTCAACTGCCGAGTTGAATTTGCCGAGTCGTCGGTAAATTGCGCCGCGTAACACGTGTAGCTCGGCAACTGTGAAGCAAGAATTTTAAAAAATCATTTAATTACTTTTCAGAAAATCGTAGAAATCGTGGTATTATTTCATATTTGATCAATCCTCTTAAAAAATTTAGAAATAAAAAAAAAACACTTTCTGCTTTTACTTTTACGAATTTTGCAAAAATTAACATGGATTTATATAATATATTTATACCAAAATAAGCCTTCTACTCGGCCCATTATCGGATAGTGAAACATAGTGAAGCCTACTGGCACAGCCGTACAGACAAACAATAGTTTTTACAGTCATTTGGAGATACTGTATCTTTATCAAAACTTGCAATACTTTTCTTCACATCTTGATATTTGAACCTAATCTTGGCGTAATTTTTGATCGAACAAACTGCACCCTGAATATTCTTCTTGAAAACGATATTCAAAATTTTTCATGAAAATTTTGTTCATATGCAATTTTTCACCTCGAATTAAAAGAATAAACCGAAGCATGCAAAAGTACAATTTTAGTATGTTGTTCCTGGTTGGTTCATAATCAAGTACTCTTTGTTTTCGTGAATTTGGTCAATAAAGTTTGATCAATTAAGTTGACCAATTGTTATCATTTCCTTGTGATAACAAGTTGACCATGCCGAAAAAATCTATTGCCATTTTTCAGCTTTAATTGTTTTTTATTTCTAAAAAACAGATTTGGCTGTCCTGCAATTTCTAAAAACTTCTGTGAGACACTTCTTCATTATTTCCTGTCTTCTTCTAAGGTAGTATTTAGATAATTTTGAGCAATTTTCCCTAAGGTTTCATTAAGGTTTCTCATTATGATTGTTAGAATCTGTTAAAAAGGTTGCATTCAATTTTTGATTTCTAAGATGAAGCTACGAATTAACGGAAAAACTTTTTCTAAGAAGCCCTCACAACTCTTTTTTATTTTGGCAATTATCATAAAAAAAGTTAAACAATTTGTTTGAATTTCAAGTTTCAGAAGTTAACATGGATTTATATAATATATTTATACCAAAATAAGCCTTCTACTCGGCCCATTATCGGATAGTGAAACATAGTGAAGCCTACTGGCACAGCCGTACAGACAAACAATAGTTTTTACAGTCATTTGGAGATACTGTATCTTTATCAAAACTTGCAATACTTTTCTTCACATCTTGATATTTGAACCTAATCTTGGCGTAATTTTTGATCGAACAAACTGCACCCTGAATATTCTTCTTGAAAACGATATTCAAAATTTTTCATGAAAATTTTGTTCATATGCAATTTTTCACCTCGAATTAAAAGAATAAACCGAAGCATGCAAAAGTACAATTTTAGTATGTTGTTCCTGGTTGGTTCATATTCAAGTACTCTTTGTTTTCGTGAATTTGGTCAATAAAGTTTGATCAATTAAGTTGACCAATTGTTATCATTTCCTTGTGATAACAAGTTGACCATGCCGAAAAAATCTATTGCCATTTTTCAGCTTTAATTGTTTTTTATTTCTAAAAAACAGATTTGGCTGTCCTGCTATTTCTAAAAATTTCTGTGAGACACTTCTTCATTATTTCCTGTCTTCTTCTAAGGTAGTATTTAGATAATTTTGAGCAATTTTCCTTAAGGTTTCATTAAGGTTTCTCATTATGATTGTTAGAATCTGTTAAAAAGGTTGCATTCAATTTTTGATTTCTAAGATGAAGCTACGAATTAACGGAAAAACTTTTTCTAAGAAGCCCTCACAACTCTTTTTTATTTTGGCAATTATCATAAAAAAAGTTAAACAATTTGTTTGAATTTCAAGTTTCAGAAGTTAACTCATTTGTTCAGGAAAAAAAAAGTAGTCCTGCTTATTTTGGGATTCTGATTTAAGTATACGTGCACAGGCAAAATACTGTTCCGCGATATCTGTTTCGTCAATTTTTGTCCTCATTTTGTCGAAAATTTTTAATGTTTTGTCATTGTTTTGTCCAAATTATTGGAAAAAAGGAGTATGGACGACCCCGAGGACAACAATTTTCTTGTAGTTAATTTCTCTCTTCGTAGTTTCAGTCTATACTTTTGTTACTTCGCTTTTGTTATTGAGAAAGTCAAGATTGAAGTCTTCAAAAAATACATACCCTTTTTAGACAAATTCTAATGATGCGACATATGACAGTTTAAGTAAGAGAGCTCTGAAAATTTTATCAAATATTTAGAGTAATGTAAACTGTTGTTTTTGAACAATTCTTGTTTAGAAGTGTGAAAACTTGACTGAGGATTTGTACGTGATTATGGGATTTTGAGTGTGCCGTTTCAATTCTGATACTTTTATTTAAGTATAGACATACGCCCCCTGCTTTTGAATTACGATTGCAAAGGATCATATCGCGCGTTAGTTGTCCCGAAATGGTCAATTTTGCAATCTCTTAACGCAAATAACTCTGCGAACCTTTATCACAAGTGAAATACAATCTATTTTTTTCCAGGACAACAATAGTTTTTGAATGATATACAAAAATTTCGTCAAAAATGTTTTAGTTAAAATGTCAATTAAGTAGACTGAGCATAAACAGATGAATTAAGTCTAAGTTTTGTACATCCAGTGGCATAATTTCAGAAAAAGTAAGTAGTTGAGAGACATAAAACTGAAAAAACACGACAAATTTGTGTTTCTAGCAACTCTAAATTGTTAATTAGATCAGAAAGTATCATTTATTGAAAATTTCGAAATATGAAATTGAAGTGTCTCGTAAATCGGCTTCACAATCTGATAAATTACTGGTAAATCGGTTTACTGAACCTGACTCAAAACTTAGCATTGTAGAAACAAAAATATATATACTTATTCATCCGGTTTGAAATTGAATAGATTCAAATAATACCTGTCGGGTCGTTGTCTATGGCTTGGCTGATTTTGCTCTGTGCTTCGGGCAGTTTGTCTTCCAACATCAACACAATCGCTTGATTCTGAAAAAAAAAAATTCCTTAACCCAAATACCTAAAAAGGCATCAGATTTCATGATTGGGTTACTAATTGTAAAAATCAATCAGAGTGAATTACGTTATTACAAAACATTTAGTTCAAAATATTTCTGGTTGTTTCCAATATTTGTATCATTGGTAATCTCTTTTTTTAAGACAAAAAGAGCGTCTTACTATTGTTCATGTAAAGAATTGTATTCTCGAAGGTGAACATTTCAGAGAGTTTTTCTCCAATAAATTTTTTTTATATCGATGCTGAATTCCAAACAGATGAGGATTCGTAGAGTACTTCGTAGTTGTGAGTTTTGTGTTTACCTTGAGTTGTATGGCTTTCTCGAACAACGCTTCTCTCAATTCCAGTGCCTGCTCCAACTCTGGCTCCAGTTCCAGGGCGTCTCTGACGTCATAATAACACAGGGTGCTCTAAAACACAAAGAGTGCTTGCTTTTTTTGAGGGCGAAGGAAGAAACTAATTCTGACCAAGTGAACAATCTCCCCCCTTAATCAATTAATGGGGGGGGGGGACTGCACTTGGTTAAAGTAAGTAGTTTTCTGCTAATCAGATTTTAACATAGTGCAGGCTTGAATTTGTAATTCAATTTCAAGGGGGAGATTGTTCACATTGGTCTCATTTTAGTAGCTTTTGGATTTTTGAATGCTTCTAAAACTACTAATTATTTGAATTAGTAATTCAAATAGTTTTTCAGACTTGGGTGGAATTAAAGCTGAAGGTTGAGAAAACATAAACCCCCCAACCTGCCCCACCCTTTTCCTCCACCTCACTTAGGGTTTGTCTCCTTCGCCACTCAAAAGATTCGACTATCGTTGGTAGTATTTTACGACGCTTATTTCCGGTTAGTTGACGCGTATTTTTTTTTCAAAAGGCGCTTTCAGCAACGATTGCCCACATCGGAGCTCCATGATATCAATCTATTGTATTGTATTTTTATATTTACTCTCCTTAAACTTCTAAAAGAATTGCGTTTTTTTTTTTCAAAATGGATTAAAACAAAACGCTAAGTTTAAAAAAAAACAATTAAGTCCACTTTGTATTGATTGCGTTGTTTGTGATGCTTTTTTCTGCAGTTTTTTTCTTCAGTTTTTTCAATGTTTTAACCCAACATAGTTAGTTATAATGGATGCTAATCTGCTTAAGTATGCCTGAAAATTTAATTTTACAATTCAGTATGATATAACATACAAAAACTGTTTCCCCCAACTCACTTACGCATCATTTCTTTGCCCGGGTTACCTGTGCATGGGAGGCAATTCCTGGGGTCATCCCTGAAACCAAATCTGGCCAGAGTGTGAGGGGTTAGTTATTGGGTTTCAATCCCGTGATTTGTTAACATGTACTTGACTGTCAATCTGTATTCTACTGTTTTAGTCTGACCTTCAAATCAGAATCCTCATTTGATACAATAAAAACTCTATCTTTTACCACTTTTTGTTACAGCGCAGCGAGAAGATGGGGACAACCCTGGGATTTGTGGCGTTTTGGCCACCCAACTAAATGGAGCCACCACTGCTGTGGGAACATCAGTCGTCGGACGAGATCTCATGGGCAATCTGGGAGAACAAGTTAAACAGACACATCCAGGGGGAGAAATCATGAACATCCAAAGAGCAAAAGGACATCGAACCTTCGAAAGGAGAAAGACATCGAAAGGAGAAGGACATCGAATCCTGGCAGCAATATTTCAGTGAGCTATTCCCTAAACTCTTTATTAGAATCGGGAAAATATAGGAAGCAGACTGAATTTTTCATGCCTGAATTGCTAGCGTGCACCAAACGAGACACGATGAGTAGCCAAAAATAGAAGCGATCGGATAGAAAACAGCCAACAAAACTAATCACAATCCAGGAACAAGCGGACTCAGATAGCGACGAAACACGACCTTCGGAGACGACGCTACTGCGAATGCAATTGGAAAAAGCCGTGCAATCGGAGGCTCTTGCTACTGGCCAAACAACAAGCCGCGCAAAAACGAATGGTGAAAGCCAGAATAAACGGGAAACCAGAGGCAAATAATCAAAAGACGACAAACCGATGAAAATTTTTGCAAATATACCAGCTTCAAAATCAAGAGAGAATCTCTCGAATAGCTGCCAGAACGACGGCAAATCGGAAATGCAAAGTGAGAGCTGGGCGAATCGGAGAAATACGAGACGAAGGGCTCCAGTTGATAAGTTGGGGGGAGTTATGATCGGCTGGACCAGGAAGGAGACGAACGAAAATCCAAAAGGCGAAAGAAAAGTAAAATTCCAGGGCGATGGAACTTACAGTTCAAAACTCATATCCCAGGGAGAGCGACTAGTCTGAAACTCAAAAACTGTTCCACATAATGCTAAAACTACTACATTTAATTTGTATATTATGTATTTAAATTTTACCTTCATAGGGGAAAACTGAGGGTTACCAATTGCATGTCAATCATTTGAGTTTTTATCTATAATTAGGAAATTTTGTCCTACTGTTAAATCATGGCAGGTACCTGCCTATTAATCAGTAAACTATCAGTCTTTCTGTCTTAGTCTGGCCTTTTTATCATAATTTTGCTCTGATACAAAAAACTACATTAGGAATTAACAGATTCAAACTCTATCTTTTACCAACTCTTGTTAAGGGCGAAACCATGTCAAATTTTTGTAGAAATAGCCCTGGTTTTCCATGTTTTTAGTCGAGTTCTGAAAATTGGAAAGATTTTCAAAGTTTTCCAAAACATAAAAAAAATCATCGATTTTCTGAAAAAGAAAAACCTCAGCCTAATTGGTAAGAAGTTCGCGTATAAACTGCATTTTATATTCTTCTTTGAAGTTCAAATTGAATTTTTGCTCAATCTGTTTTATCACAGATTAAATAGATTGTTTGACTTTAAATATGAAAACAAAAGGTGACGGTTTTCTATGTGGCTTCTATATAGCTTCCACCTAAAAAAAACAGTTTCAAAACAAACAGTTTTCTGTCAATCTTAAGCTTGTTTTTTTAATTGAAAGTTTACGTGAGGCTCCATGAACATATACTTAAATTATTTGTTCCTTTGCGTGAAAAACTTATTCTGGAAAAAGTTATGCCCAAAAAAAATCACTTATTTTCAAAATCAAAATGATTTTGCGGCTTTAAAAAATTTTAGAAAAAAAATTATAAAAAAATGCTTTTAAGTTTGTTTTCTTGACAGGGTTTTTAGACTCCCGTTGCCAGCAAGTCCAAGATTGCCTCCGACTCTCTAACTTCTGGCAGGAAAACCAAGATGGGAGTGATAGATGAAGGTTTAAATTGGCTGGGCTATCGTTTTTCATGGCTATCGGGGTAATAAGTAGTCATGTATGTGTGAGGGGGAACATGGGTGTTGAAATTTAGGGTTGTCCAAAAAGTATCGTTTTTCAAAAAGTTAATTATTTATGAATGGGTTTAGAAACCAAACAGACCAAAAGTAATTCAGTATTTCAAATTTTAGTTTTCAATTTGTAAGTTTTAATTAGTTTTCAATCTATTTTCATAGATTTTAATGAGTTTATTATCAATTTAATCACTAAAATTTAAAAAAAAAAGTTCCACTCTGGGCTTAGACTCCAATTCAATTTTGAAAAATTTGAAAAAATTTCACTATAAGGGATCTAAGTTTAGCTATATAATCCAACAAAATCAGCTTTGCATGAAACTCCAGTTCAGGTGTGTTGAAGTTAGTAGTAGGATCTCGCCCGAAAGTAAACAAATTGGTCGGAACCTTACCAGAAAAAAACAAAAACACCCTTTTTGGTCTTTTAAAAAATTTAGCGGCAGTGAAAAGATTTTCAAAATGGGTTTATCTTTTTCGTTTTGGTAGAGTTTTGAGAATCATTAAGTGGCCGAGTTGAGTCCATACGAAAAAATTCTTTTCACACAATACCATTATTGGAAAATACGAACAAAAAAGTGCATCATACAACTTCTATTTAAAAAAAGTTTTCCGACTTATGCACGGCAAACTATTTTTTCCATGCAAAAATTTTTTAAAATCTTTCAAATGTGCTTGAGGGTAATTTTGAATGAATTTAGTGCTATTTTTTGTGAGAGAGCCTTTATTTATCAAAAATGATTTTTTGGCATGTGAAATATGCTCATTTATGAAAACTGTATGATAAGCACTTTTCCATTATAATCAAAAGTAGACAAATTCTAAAAGTAGACGGTAAAACAGTTTTGTGATCAAACAAACGGTTTCCAAACGAGCTTTTATGAATGCAAAAACTTCAAATAGATCCCTATAACGTAAGCCAGACTAAATTGTTTTACAAAGAAGATTTCAAAATCACAGGAAAAAATTTTGTGTCGTCAGATTTCTTTTTTGAATTTAGATGAAGAATACGGCGGCTTTTGTCAAAAAAACAGCCATTGATTTTAACTGAGGAATTTTTCGAAGTAGAAGCTTAATAGCAATATGCGAAAAGTTAAATCTTTGGGATTCGACCCCCTGCCGACTTAAAGGGTCACCCCTTTGTACTATTTTGAGATATCCATTTTTGGTGATGAACCCTAAAAACTTTCTTAAGGCGCCTTAAGCGCCAATATATACAAGTTTTGAAGGGGGAGCGCGCGCCGAAAAAAAACGCGATTTTTTGGTCAAAAATTTCCAAAAAGTGCCTAAAAACGCCTTTTTTTGGCCTGTTTTTTTCAAAGTTCGGCCAAATAGGGGCAAAGCAGTGCTTTGGGAGAGCTCGAAAAATCAATTTGGTCGACGTAAAAAAAGGTCGACAAAATTTTCGAAATTTTTTGAAAATCCGCCCCCCCCCCCCTCGAGAAAATCCTAGATCCGCACCTGTAGTTAATTTTTCTTCGAAGTAGAAGCTTAATAACCATATGCGAAAAGAAAAATTACATCTTTGTGTCAATACTGGGTGAAATGTAACAATCTTCATGTTACGTAGCTTATCTCAATAACGTACATTTTTTCTGCAATTTGAACCCCAATAAGTTCACTGGTTTTCTGCCATGATAACGTTGTGGTTTATGTGGAATAGGACATACACGAAAATTTAAAACAAACCACAAAAAATGCTTTTTTTTGTAATACAATTTCATTCGTGGAAACAATGCTAGTCATACAGTTTTATAGTGGAAAACAAGCTTATCAAGCTATTTTCAAACAAACTTTTCTTCTATGGTGCTGTATTAAATTGTACCATGAGATTTTTTCCACTGATGAAAATTGTATGAGAACCAAATTTTGTCAACCGGATAGAACTAAAGGAAGGTAGACAAAAAACCCCTCTCTGCTTCCTCGAAAATGTTCTAGATCCAAACCTAGATCAGTCATTTTTTTTGATACTGATAGATAATTTTATAAGCTGCAAAAAATTAGTTTTTATGATTATTCAATTTGTTTTTGACACTATTTTGACTAAAACTACAAATTGATTAATTATTAGTACTGTTTACTTTTTGTATTTCAAAGAAGTTATTTTCTAAATTCCTTTAGAGAACAAGGCTGTTGTTCATTCTAGAGTTAATTCTACTGAATTTCCATTTTTCTTTTAGAAATTTGCTGATACAAAAGAAAGAGCGTTATAGGATTAATCCTGTTTAAACTCAAAACAAGAGGAGAAACGTATTCATTATTTTTAGAGAAATTTAAAAATTGACAGGTGCAAGCGACGGAAAATTGTATCTCTGTTATTTTCTTATTCTGTTATGCGGAGCTTTGCTAAAACAGAATCAAAACAACCAATATTCTTACCATGCTTCTGAAATCAGCAGCGCGTGCAATATGAACGATATTGTATAAAAAAAGAAGCAATTACTTTCGTTCATTTCGAATTTTTTCCCCTTTTTTCAATTATGCACTGACATATTGTAAATTTAAAAAAAAAACAATTTTCTTTATTTTTATGATCTTCGCGAAGCTTATAAATTTTTATTGGGTTTCCTTCGTTTAATTAAATATTTAGTTCAACTTCTCTCAAAAAATTTGTTCTTTTGTTACAGAAAATCATATATTTTGAAATTTTTATTTGAAGCAGCTCAGTTACATACAAATTTTAGTTTGGATTATAACAAAGCTTAGAAGTTATGTTGCAGTTTTTCTTCAGAGATAAGTTTTGACATTTTTAATTGAATTGATTTTCAACTTTGAATGGAAAAAAATTTTGAAATATCAGTTTGTATTGAAAATTTAACTTTTACAAGTTGACTTTTTTGAATGTCGTGTTGCGGAAAGTCGAACCGAATTGATTCGGCCGAGCGAATTGAAGTAAGAGTCGAGCCGAAAACTACAAAACCGAAACAGAAGAATACGACGACCAAATCGAAACATCGGCGAAAGGGATCGGGGGGAAGTATAAGCATAAGTGTGGACTTTGGAGGCCATGATAGTCGGGAACATAGAGTTGTGCACCACCACCATTACCATCATGACCAAGACCATGACCATGATCACGTGACTGCAGATCCGAAAGAAGAAGGTTCTAAATGTGCATTTTTTTTTTCAATTTTTTGTGCTTTGTTTTCTTCGTTTCATGGTTTTTTCTGAAAAAGACAAACAAGCCAAATGTCAAAAACACAGAGCAACGTTATTTTTTGCAAGCAAACAATTGGAAGATGCGAAAAATCATATAACTTCACACTCAATCAAATTTAAATTGTAAATTTTCATTTATCTTAAATATTCACCTCAAATTCTCAATTTTTTTTTCTTAGGATAAGTGCTACAAAGCTACAATGTTTGATAAAAAAAATTTCAGCAAAAAATGTTTTCTTTTCTGAAACCCTAGAAAAAGAAAGCTATGCTAAAATTGATTAAAGCTTTTTCAGTAAAATCTGAAGACAACATTTATTGGAAATGCTTATCAAACAGTTTCAATATATGAAAAATTTACGATACTCAGTATTCACCAATCAATTTTTTCAAAACCGTGAAGTACACGCAAAAATCGTTTCGAGAGTTATAGAATTTATTTTTAAAATTTGTCTCAAAACGGGCGAACACTGTGTTTACTTGTGAATTTAAAAGAGATTCCACAACAGCGTAGAATGTCATTTTTGTGAAAACGCAACAATAGTTATTTTATTTTCTAGTATTGTTGATGTGAAACCCACGGACAATTAACCAAAACATTGTGCTCTCCCAATGACTTTAAAAAAGCAAAACTATTGAATCTTGAACGCTTTGTAGAATCATTAAAAATAATAACTTTGTTCCGACTATTTTTGAAGAAATTGACGGAACCTTTGAGACAAAGTTTTTCACCTTCATGCAATCACTTTTTTCGCCATCACTTTTTGTAAAGTTATGAGGGTTTAAAAGAGCAATTTGGGCAAGTTGGGATAATAAACGCGCCGTATATTTCGTGCTAATAATGCGTAAGCGGAGTTATAATCCGTCTTAGAAGTTGTTCGACTGAGACATGCTTAGGTCTAAGTAAATTTTTGCTCTCCGCAAAATATATCATTTGGTACTTTAAATAGCGGGTGGGTGCATTATAAATAAAAACGAAATTTTTAAAAATTTTATTCCATTTTTTTGAAAATTTTATTGATTGATTAAATTGGAACACTCAATTGATTAAATTGGAACAATTGATTTAATTGATTAAATTGGAGGAGAAATTAAAATGCAGTCGGAACAACGCAGTATGACACGAGAACTGTTGTTGTTCCGACTTTCGTAACGAAAGTAACTGAATATTTGTGCACGGGTTGAGTTTTTTTTCTTCAGACAAATTCGACTTTTTAACTAGCCATTTTTGACGGACTTTCTAATTTTTATTCTAAATGTATTGTTGTCTTGAACTTAAAAATAAAAAATTATTTCACCTGTGATTATTATTTTAAAATTTATGGGGGTTTAAAGATTGCCATTCTGGCCATCTTGGCACAATCAACGCGCGATATATTTCGCGCTATGAACGCGTAAGCGGAGATTTAATCCGTCTTAGAAATCGTCCTGAATTGGTTGAAGGAAGCTTATTTGCCATAATCGATTTGTTACTAGAGCAAAATTTGTCACTTTGTGCTTAATATGGCGTGTGGGGTGATGGTTTTTACAAAAAATCCCAAATTTGAAAAAAAAATTTTTTCTTCTATCACAATTATTTTTTTCATGTTGTTACTGCTCCATAAACCTTAAGAGGCAGTCGGAACATTCAGGGCTTTGCCCTGATACGAGCAGTCTTGTTCAACTTTGCAGTGGATTGCGCTGTCGCTGAATCTGCCTTGTGTAAGCAGTATTTGCATTTTGTATACAGAAGCGGCACTATGTAGGAGCAATCGGCCTTTTTTTAGGTGGAACCCGCAAATTGGTGCGGATTTCATTTGATTTTGCAGAACCATCTTACAAATTGTGGAATCCATTTACAAGTAGAATTCGCAACATCTTTTTATATATTCCCTCTTTTCAGATTGCGCTACAATTAATGTGACGGGCATTTTTACGTTACAATTTTTTGCTTGTAGAATTTGGGGGAGCGGTGGTGAAGTGGTTACGTCTCCGCCTCTTAATCGAAAGGTCGGATGTTCGAGGCCCACCATGATCCGTGCTCGTTGCTTGAGGGTGAAGCAACATTACCCAGCCCAGAAAAAATACCAAAAAATTGCATGTAGTTCTTAAACAGGGGCACAACAGCGGTTCGCCGTGATGAGCTGTACAGCTCTTGTGTTGGTCCTTTCCCCCGTGGATAAATGATCTTAAAATCTTAAAATTTGCAACAAATGGATTCCACTCACAATTTGGAACTGGTTTTAATGCTTGTTTCCGGGATTCCAGTGTCCTATACACTCACTACATGGTGCGCGCATCCAGAACAGTTTGTCCTCGTTATGAAAAAGTACGCTAAGCACTTTCTCGTAGACTCAGTGTCCGGAATTGCATGATAGGCAACTTTTTGAATGGAGAGCAAACTGGGTTACCAATATTTTTACACACGAGTTGTTTTAAAAAAAAAAATGGAAATAATGAGCAAAAATATTAACAAAAAAAGTCATTTTTTTCTAATGCTTTCAACGATCAACGATTCTTTGGGTTAAAAATTACAACTTTTAGGTTGTGACGAAGGTGAGCCAGCCGAAGAAGTAGCAGATTTGGAACCCGACGAGGAACCGTTGGCAGAACCCGAGCCCGAGGGGGATCCTGAACCAGAACCCGAACCCGAATCAGAACCCGAACCCGAACCAGAACCCGAGGCGGAGCCCGAACCGGAAGAGGAACCCGAACCCGAACCCGAACCCGAAGAGGAACCCGAACCCGAACCCGAAGAGGAACCCGAACCCGAACCCGAGGAGGAGCCCGAACCCGAAGAGGAACCCGAACCCGAACCCGAAGAGGAACCCGAACCCGAACCCGAACCCGAACCCGAGGAGGAGCCCGAACCCGAAGAGGAACCCGAACCCGAACCCGAGGAGGAGCCCGAGCCCGAAGAGGAACCCGAACCCGAACCCGAGGAGGAACCCGATGAATGAAACTATTTTTCATTTCAGTTTTAATGTTTGTTGCAATAGATTTTAGGAACTATTTTTTTCTCTGCGATTCATGCTAAAAACTGCAGCGCTAGATATAAATATTTCAACCCAGGTAAAGCGCAAAAAGACCATTTTGTAGGAATGTGGCTTGAAGAAGTATCTAACTATAACTTTTTATAAAAAGGCACCACGATGCCCATTTTCGCAGCATGAAATAAGCTAAAAGTAACAAATGAACCTCTTGATTTGAAATGAAAAAAATCAAAGTGTTAGTTAAAAAGAAAAGTTAAAAGTGTGAATTTTTAAACCCATTTTTCTAGAAGTTGAAACTTTTCCCAGAAGTTAAAATTTTTCAGACGCGTTTTTCGAGTTGAAAAAGATGTGAACACAAACACTAGAAGGGGCAGTACAACAGTGCCGAAAAATAAAATGTTGTTCAAAAGAGCCGAATACTGTTTTTACTCATCTCTTATCACTAACAAATAAAAATTAATTCAAATCAACGGAAGTTGAATATTCAAAATTTGCCATTTTATTTGACAAAATGACAAAATACAAGCACGGCATCATTAAATTTTCTGAACTGTTAAAGTTGTCGAATTTTGGTTTTGAGGATATGCCATTTTGTTGCCAAAGGTCTCAATATGCCAGTTTTTACCATCTGAACTAGGTTTTGCATCGGATCGAGCTTTTTCTCGAATAGAGGGAGAAAAAAATTGTTCGTGCAGTAAGAAACATTCTGAGCGAAAAACTGAATTGTTCAGAGCGACAACTTTACTAAGCTCAGCTGTTTTTTAAAAATAGCACGCTTTTAGAAAAACTTGGTGCATCTGGTGAAACAAGACAAACTTAACAATTCCATAGAGGATGGCTCTGAGATTTTGCTAAGTTTTCCAAATCTATGCCAAATTTTTGTTTAGTTTTCCAGTGAAAGCTGTCAAAATCATCTTTCAAAAGAGACAGTAGTTTTTTACTGAGTTTGTACTGAGAGACAATTACCGAATTTTTTTTTTCACTAATGTGTTTACAAGCCGTACAAAAACATCAATGGAACCAGCAAAAAAGAAAACACCCGAATGCATTAATCGATAAACAGATAAAACCTGTTTTTTACCCTGTTTTTTACTGTAACTAAATTCGGAAAATTTAATGTAATTTATCGGAAGAAACCAAATGGAAAATATTTTTAAAAACATGAACGACAACTATAAACTTTTTTGTCATCAAAAGCCAATCTTGTTTTTGATTTTTAATCAGTACGTAAAACACTAGAAAAAGTATAGTCAGATAGTTCCAAAAAAAGTAAATGCTTTCATTGTGATCACATTCAAATTGGTAGCTTGCTTCATGGAGATTATTTGCTTATCAACAACTTAGGGGCAACAAAACTTTCTTCTTCCAACTCTTAAAGAAAGTTACTGAATAATTGTACTCGGGCGGTTTGTTTTCTCAAGACAGTTTCAACTTTTTGACTAGCAAAAAAACCTATCGAAAAAATCGTTTTCGTGAGCTCAAATCTAAAAATCATGTTTTTGGAAAACTTATGAGAGTTTAAGGTTGCCAATTTTGATAACTTGGGACATTTAACGCGTGATATATTTTGCGCTTATAGAGCATAAACGGATATTTAATCCGACCTGAAATTGTTTCGAAATGAACTAAGTCATGCGTTTTCGTCAGTTTAATGTTTTTGTAAGCTCAAAATATAACACTATCCACTCTAAATAGCGTGTCAAGCAAAATCAGGTGACAATCGTTTCATTACATAGAAAAAGAGGCCAGAAATTGAATTACTCAAAGTCAAATTACGTTGCTCAAGTTCCACGATTTTTCTAAAAACTGGCCATTCATTTTATACAGAGAGACTTAAAAGGCTCGGACAAAGTTAGTTTTTCAGACATTTTTCAAGTTTGCTCCTGTAATTTGTTTTTGATTTTCTGATTTTTTGGCTAACAAAAACAAAAGACTTCTCTTAGCAGTGCAACTCCGTGAAGGTTCTGACTGCGTTTTAAGAAATTTCTATGTTTTTTTAGGAAAACAATCTTGCTCATTATACGCTATAGACAGTATGCAGTGAAGTTTTCCGCACTCAACCAACTAAAAAAAAGACTAGCTAGCATGCCTGAATTAAATTTGGAACAAATTCTAAGACCGATTAAATATCCGGTTACGAATAAATAGCATGAAATATATCGCACGTTGATTGTCCAAAAACGAATGAAATGGCCATCTTCAAACCCTCATAACTTTACAAAAATCTTAGATGAAATATCGTTTGAAGTTTGAGCTCAGGGCAGCAATTATTTTCCAGTGATATGACATTTTGCTTTGTTTTGATATATTGTTTTGCGTGTTGGAAAGTAAAAATTTGTCTGGAGAAAAAAACCACTCAAAAACTTTTCCGTCACTTTTTCGAAAGTCAAAACAAAACGTTCATGCAAATCACTGCTCCGATCTTGGATGCTGTCTATCAAAAACAGTTGCAAAAATCACAACCAACAAAAAATAATCAAGAAGAGCTAATTACTATCCCCAGAAATCTAGCCAGAAGTTTCCCAAAGATAATGAAAAAATTAATGATTAGTCTTTTTTATGTTTTCTATTTTCTGATTTCTGGAGGAAAAAATGCTCATAAATTTCGTTGAGTTTCAAGATTCACTTGTATCAAAGTTTTTTGTTGATATCATTCCACCTTGCAAAAATTGGATCATTGGGCAAAATTTTTATCCGGATAAGAATTCTAAAAATTTTAGTCCACTTTCAAAAAAATGAACTTATCAATTTTTAGCTGAATTTGCCTTTTCATAGTTGAAGGCAAGTTTTTTGTTAATTTGAACTCAAAAACTGTATATTTTGAATATGTTTTTTCATCAGTCCATTAACATGCATGAATGTATTTCTTATCTTAGCGTAATTTAAGATTTTTTCCAATTTAAAAACAAACAAACAAAATACTTGAACCTAAACATGTGTCTTCCTTACGTTCAGTGACTCTGATTAACAAGAAATAGAGAAAGCAGACAAAAATTATGCTTCAAAACAGCCTGAAAAAAACTGCGAACAAATTGTTCATAAATCGAAAAATTATCTTTCCAAATATTAATATGTATGTTTTATTTTTTGCTACTTTTTGTCATAATAACCTGCTGATTTTCTATACAAATTTAGATGTTCAAGCTATTTTGAGATTCAAATTTGCTGAAGTACAAAACTTTCTGAAAAATGACACTTGCTCTTTTTAAATTTTATATTCAGATTCGCTCTTTATCATTTATTTTGTCTTCCCAATTGTTGCAAATCCGGCCCATGTCAACAATCTCCCCCCTAAAATTAAAGGTCAAATTGAAGCAGTAAGGCCTATTTTGTACTCTGCTCGAGCTTACGTTTCCGAACAACTGGTGAAGTCGTGCTCTCATCACGAACAGGTCTGGGTTGTCACTCTCGGCTTCGATGCGTCGGTTCACGAGAGCCAGACACTCCCCATGACGCTGAAGAGATGCCAGACAAGCTATGCTTCTCGTGTGGTAGCCGACAGTATCTGGTCGCATTTCAGCAGCACGAGAAAAACACTCGAGGGCTTCTGGAAACTGTCCCTAAAAACAATTTTTTCCGGTTTTTTGAGATAAAATTCTAAAATCATGAAATAATCCTAATTTATCCACAATTTAGGATATTTGACTAGTAGATGCCTCAAGTTCCAAGTTGATAAATTGAATGAACGTAAAACCGCAATCATTTTTTTTGAGAATTTGGTTTCGCCAAGTTTTCAATTGACTTATTTTATTCTGCTCTTTAACTTTCATCTTTACTTAGACAAAAATATTAATTTTTTTTTGATATTAGGATCAAAAAATTTCGGTCAAGAAAGTCGAGAAAACGAAACATATCGAGTTTTTGCCGAAAAAGTCGAAGCATATCTATGCGGGGTCAAATAAACAAAAGTTTTATAAAATATCTGCCAAAAGAGTCAAGAAAGTCAAAACATATCGAATTTTGGTCGAGAAAACTGAAACATCTGAACTGGGTCGAACAAAGTCGAACACTTTTTGTTGGGTCGAGAAAGTTGAAACATACCAAAATTTGGTCGAGAAAGTCGAAACATACGGTTTTTTGGTCGAGAAAGTCGAAACATACGGTTTTTTGGTCGAGAAAGTCGAAACATACGGTTTTTTGGTCGAGAAAGTCGAAACATACGGTTTTTAGGTCGAGAAAGTCGAAACATACGGTTTTTTGGTCGAGAAAGTCGAAACATACGGTTTTTTGGTCGAGAAAGTCGAGACTTAAACCGAATACCCGGAAAGTATAGGGGCAAAAAAAAAACAGTTTTTCTGGACCACTTAAAAAAATTTCCGAAAAGGAACAAGATTTGCGGTTGAATATTGAACCACCGGCTATCCGAAAAAGAAAAAACCAGCTGTAAATTGAGAAAAAAACGGCTAAATTTTCCGTATATAGGTGATTTGTTGATAGTAAATTTTTTTTGGGATGGTATTGCTAGTATTTGGAGTGATTCTGGAATATAATACATTCGTGTCGTTTAAATTTCTGTCGTCTCATTGTCCTATTGACTTATTTGCCCCTATTTGCCCCCTATTTGCACAAACAACCATCATATGTGCACAAACAAGTTCTTCATTTTGTAACGTGGAGGTGACAGACAAGTCGTATCTCAAAGTTCCCAGATTGACGACTGACTTTCATACACGGAAAAAATTAATCATGCAATTCCATAAAATAAGTCTATGAAAAAATGATAATCACTCGATTTTTTCTTAAATTGTGTGATCGAAAATCAAAAGAACGTTTTGCTTCTTTTGGAATATAATTCGATGAATCGTCTTAAAAAAACAATTTTGGCATAAAAATTTGACATACTAATTCCATATATGCAAATTGTATGACTAATCTTTTTTGATGGCGACAACAAATGTTTGTTTACACAAATTTTGTGCCGAAACAATAGATTGGTAATATGGAGAAAAAAAATTTGCCAACAAAATTTTTTAACGTGCATAACGTAGTACTGGATACACAAAAGTTGTTCCTCTTTTGTTTCTCTGGTTACGTTTCGTTCAAAAGTTCTTAAAACAGCGGACTCTAAAACTTCTACTTCTTGCATGGTTCGTTCATTTATGCCTTGATTAATATTTGAATTCTTAAAAATTCAAATTTCGAAACTGACAAAAAACGCAAGCCCACCACAAAGAGTCCACCCTTTGAAATTTTTTGAGATATCCATTTTTGGCTGACGAACCCTAATTTTTTTCTAGCAGCGCATTTGGCGCCAATCTTAACAAATCTTGGTAATTTTTTTTCCAAAAAGTGCCTATAAAACTCTTTTTTTGAACTTTTTCAAATACCGGTTTTTATAGTGATTAGTGAGAGCTCGGAACATTATTTTGGTTGATTAAAAAAATTTATACTTTTCGCTTCTTCAAAAATCCGCATCCTGCCCTCGATAAAACCCTAGATCGGTCCCTGATGAAAAATGTATCATAAGACTTTTTCAATATGAAAAAAGTACAACTAGTTTTTTTTTGTGAATCCGGGTTCCATAAAAAATTTTGGAACATGGCTCTTCAACGGCCCCTTGAAAACATGAAAAACGATCAAAAATGAGAAAACGGGGAAAATGATAAAAAAATTAATTTTTTTTTTAAATGGAAAACACGCAATCAAGAATGAAGATTTAAAACTAATGAAATTAACACAAGTCTCGAAATCAAGATTAATATAAAATGTCCTGAAAATGTGAATCAGAAATATATTTAACAAAAAGTATCGAATACTTAGGCAGCTAACTCTTTTACAATTTAACTCTCGTTTTAAAAACAAAATGATGAAGCTTAAAATGTCTTTCTTATTTATAACTTAACAACAAATTTTCACCCAAAAAATTATTCATTGTTTTTTGAAATCTTTGTCAACATACATTTTCCATAATGTCTTGACCAGATTGGGATTCCAACTCTTTGGATAAGCGCGGTTTTTATCCAAAGATTTTTTATTTTTTTTTAGAAAACTTCAGAAATAAAACTTTACAGTTAACAGGAATAAAAAAGCTTGTCTGACCGTTGGAAGCTGTTCAAAACAATTTCAATTAAGTTATGAACATTTCTAAAAAAGTTCTGATTTGAATGAAAAAAAGTCTCACTGCAATTACATTGTCAACAAAAACTTTTGAGTTGAAATCTAAGTTTGATTAGTTTTTTTTTTATCAAAACCAACATTTGGCATCTTCAATATTAAAAAAAACGATCAGAGCACATACGTTTTTTTTTCCTTTTTTTTCTAAAAAATTGGTGCGAAAACGACGTTTCGTCATTTTTCAGAAAATGTTCAAATTTGAATAGTTTGTGCAACAACTTTTGTACACGGGATTAAAACCAATATGTACTCCGCTCAGAATGTTGATTCGATGAAATTCAAAAAAACTGTTTTTCTTTTTCTTCAACTCCTAATTTTTTCTCGAAAACTCATCAATCAGCTTTATTTCAAAAAAACGTTATGAATAACAGATCAATTACTTTAACGAGCAGAAGGAACAATCAGGGCTTTAACTTGACATGAGGTTGCTTGTTTTTTGATAATAACTTTAATCTAGACCATTATCCAACGTCAAAAGCATACCTTGATTTAAATAAATTTGATTATTTGACGACTTTGAGCTTGACCCCGAAAACCGAGAAGTGTAGTAGTTTTATGAGAACTTGTTGTTTAATCTTGATTGTAGCTACAGTGCTAATTTAATTTTACCAAACATAATAAACAACGTCTGAAACTTCAAACGTGTTTTTCTCAAATTGGGATGAGGTTAGACAAAAAGTGAAGAAAAAAATGCTTAGATTTTCATCAAAATAAACATGATGCGAGTTGTGTTCATAAATTTGCAACCAAAGTTTTTCCCCAAAAATGGATCGTTTTGATTTTTTTTTAGTTAATCAAGAATTACACTGAAACTAATAAGTTAATTGATAAGAAAAAAATGTGCACATTTAAGTTTTACGCAGTCCACAAAGTTATAGATGTGTAAAATTTTCGAAAAAATTGTGCAAAACAGTTGCAATTTGTTTTTAAGCAAAGATTTTGCTTTTTACATGTAGAAAAACGACAGTTTTGGCTACCAGCCAAAAATATGTACGTTTCTTTGGAGATTATCAATACTCTTGTTATAAATTGTTGGTTTCTAAAAGAGGCTCACTTGGATATAAACGTGTCAGTTATTGACCAGGTACTTTGAGCGTAATTTTTTATTAATTGCAAAAGCTAAATATAATCCAATTTTAGGGCCGTCCGTATTCAGGAAAAACAATTTACACCAAATAAATTCTGTTAAAATTTTAGGCAAATTTTGGATGTCGTCTTTTGTAATCTAAAATCAAACCAGTATAAAAAAAGCATTTTATATTTCAAGTTTGTGCATTTTGTCCGGATGATTTAAAACAACACTGTATAGTTGGTCCGTGTATGCAAACAAAAAGTTAGGGATTGAAGAACTATTGAAAAATTATTCTCCAGGAATGAGATCAGTGAAAACAAAGCAATAAAAATTTGACAAAAAAGGCGATCGACTTCGATGAAACACCGATGTTTGTTCCCACAAAAAAAATTTAGTGATGAAACAGTCAAAAACCGTTAACAATTTTACGCGACTTGTAGTTGTATACATTTTGTTTGAGAAATACTAACTGATTATTGAGAAATCAATTGATCAACAAAACTTTGAAACCTTTATAAGAAACGTTTTCTATTTCTACATTCTTTCTCATGTATGCCCGCAGTGAGAAAAACATAAAAAACTTGAAGATAAGTTTTGTCACACCGTGTGCCCGCTGGGTTTGAATTTCAATTGGCACAAAAGACCGCCTAAAAAGTAGAAAAATATTTGCAGATAAATTTTGACAAAAAATTGAAAATTATTCAGATTTCAACTCTTTTCAAAAAGTCTCCCATGCTCGAAAAAGTGTCATGTGTCAAAAAAGTGAAACAAAAACTAATTTTTTCGAACCCGAGTCACTAGTAGCGGGTTATGATATGATATAAAAATCGATCCAATAAGAAGTTTGTTTGGCGTACATTTGTTTGGCGTCGGAATAAGTGAGCCTCAGAAAAGTTAATTTTCTTTCGCACCCCTAGAGGGATGGTCATAGGAGCAAATTTGAAAGAAATAGAGCTACTCAATTTGCGCTGTGAAAAACCTGTGAACGAACCTGTAGGTGCTCTCCCAAGCAAAAATTTCTCGCGTGGTTTGTGAAGTTATCAAATACCCACAATGTAATGAGAACATTTTGTTATGATTATTATAAAAAGAGATCATACCAAAATTGGTCGGAGCAAAATGGTCGGAACAAAAGTGGTCGGAAACTAAAGTGGTCGGAACAAAAGTGCTCGGAACAAAAGTGCTCGGAACAAAAGTGCTCGGAAAAAAATTCGGAACAAAAGTGGTCGGAACAAAGGTGGTCGGAACAAAGATGGTCGAAATAAAGCTGGTCGGAATAAAAATGACCGGAAAAAAGTGGTCGGAATAAAACTGGTCGGAACAAAAGTGGTCGGAATAAATGTAGTCGGAACATTTGGTCGTAACAAAAAGGAAATAAAAAAGGTCCTACCTGGTCGAATAGCACTTGTCCGTAGAAGAAATAGATGAAAGCTAATCTCTCAAAGTGTCCGGCTTCTTCCGGCTGCAAATGGCACACTTTCTTGTAGTTCAAAATAGCCGACTGGAAATCACACATGTCCAAATAAATCTCAGCTCGCAATTTGTAAGGTTCTGCTAAGTCAGCGGCGGCTAATTGATCAGGTCTTTCCTGTTATTACTAATCCCAAGTGGAATTTCGAAAATTAGCAACCAAAAAAAGTGTTATCAGATGCCTGCTAACCGTGTTTTTGAGATAGATAAGCGGGTAAAAAATATATTCCAAATGGATCAAATGAGCAGCGTCCCCCGCTGCACTCTCAAAGGAAGGTAGCCGATTGAGGTGAAATTATTTTTCTTTTATTATTTTTTTGAAAATTAAGAGTCAATCAGCATCATCCCTTGTATTTTGCTTCTTGGGGGAGGGGGAGGGGAGTTTTGTTTTTAATTGATCCAATGAACTGTATATGATATAAAAAAATTCAGAAAAGTAGGATCCAAAAACTAGAAAACAGGTAGAACAGTGATAGTTTTCCCTTTATAGTTAGTAAAATTTCTCCCTCTTAATCAGAAGAACGCTGGTTCGAGGCTCAGATTAGACATCCTCTTTCGCTAGCTGCTTGTTCGTGTATGTCAAAGCAAATTACTGCAGTACCAGCAACATAAACAGTAAAAAAGACTTAAAGACTTTTTGGATAAAAGATCTCTAAAAATTCACACTTAAAGTTTCCTAAGCCAGCAAAGAGCCCCCACCTGAAAACTAAACTTTATTTTTTTTATCAAATCAACGAAATTTTTTTTTACCTGGAACATCAGTTTAGAGTTTTTGCCCGTGAAAAAAAACTATTTTCAATGGTAGAACATATACAAAAATGTACCTGGGTACTTTTGTTACGACTTCCCCACGGTTTTTTCAATGACGAGATAGTTAACAAGATGCTGGTCGTCTTGGCCTAATGTTGTTTTCCAGACATTTTAGATTTTTTTTCGTTAATTTGTATAATTTGTTTAAATAAGTTTTTAAAAACTGTAGATATCGTTTGGAAACAGTTTATTGTTTTTTTGCATGCGCCAGTTGTAATAACAGGAAAGACCTAATTGATATTTCAGGCCATCTTCAGACGGACGTGATGCTGGTTGAATCATAACTAGTTTTGTTAACTTGGTCAACGCTTCGTCTTTTTCACCCTTCTGAAGAAAGATTTCGGCTTCTCTCAATCTGAAAAATAAATACAGGGCCCAATTTAGGGTGGGGACGCTTTTTGCTTCTCAGGGATTCGAGCCCCATCACCAACCGAAGGGTTCCCTAAATTTGAAGGGGAACACGCGCCGATAATATTTGAGTTTTTGGTCGTAGTTTTTTATAAAAAATTCAAAAACGGAGATTTAGTAAGTAGAGATATAAAATACAAAGATGTAGATCTTCGGATTTTTAAAAAAGGAGGGAAAGATTATATTTAAAAAAATTTAATATGACTTTTTCTAAATATTTTGTAGGTCGGCTTCAAAACTGGATTTTGAAAAAGAAGCAAGGGGGAGCGGGTCGTTTAGGGCGCCTCAAAATTATGATCATGAGTAAATCGCAGTCAGTTTAAGAATCAAGTACGGCTCATCGGCCTTTTCGTTTCAATCATCCCGAAAAATTTTACGGCCTTTTTTCACAAAAGAACTTCACGCCCCTCCCCTTCTCCCTTTTCTACTCAGGACTTTCCGGACCACCCAAAAAATCCCACAATTGGTACCACAATACGACATCAGTTTTGGTCAACCAAACCTTAAGTTTATACAACAATTGTACCCTTGTACTCACAGATTGACACATTTTCCATGCAATAACGAATTGAAGCTCGGCAACAGTTCTCGTTTTTTCACCTCTTGTGTATCGCGTTCACGCTGTTCTTTCAGTTCGGCCATTCTTCTCACGTCTTGTTCCATCTCCTTACTCGTTTTTCGCTCTTCTGAATTGTCGACTTTCAAACTTTCGGCTAAGTTTCCACTGCTCTTGGCTGCCTCTATAGCAGATTTTGTGACATCAAAATTTTTGTTTTCCGAACTGTCGGCTCCAAAGTTTTCAGCTAATTTTTCGTTGTTTTCCAGATTTTTGTTACCGGATTCCTCGTGAAGATTTCTGTTCTCCAATTTTTTGGCTTTTAAACTTTCGGCATCATTTACATTAGCTTCAAGTTCATCACTTTTTTCAATTTTTGTCTGATTTTCTTTGGTCGGATTTTCTTCGGAACTTTTGCCGTCTGAATTTGTGTCGTTGGTAATTCCAATATTAGGTGGTAAACTCTCAAAATTTTCATTATGTGGTTTTTCAGATATGCTTTGCTCGGATTTGGTTTGGTTTTGTGGTTCAGTTTCTGAGAGCTGGTTATCAATTTCTTCAACTCTCGATTTCGATTTGTCATTAAATTTTTCGGTATCAGAAATATCAGAAGTGAGATCCATTTTTCTTCCGTGTTGCGTTCGATAATTTGCACTATCTTCAATTTTGATGTAAATCAAGTCTAATCGATTATATAATTTGATATGCTTAGTTATTTTTTAGTTTTGATTAACAGTGAAACGATATAACACATCAGATTGTGCTAGTAGAACATGCTTGATTTTATACGTATGTGCTTTTTGTAGTAGTCGCACGTTTACTTCACATGGTTTGACGCTAAGCACGCGGCAGCATAAAAATACCTTGACTGAATTGTTTTTTTTTCCTATTTTGATGTTAAATTTACCTGTTATCTACAATCTCTGCTAACCAGAGAATACAGTGCTGATTTAAATTATCTGGTAAAAAACGAAAATCCATCGAAATTTTAAAACGTTTTTTTTTTCTCAAATTGCGGTTAGTTTAGAAAAAAACGACCAGAAAAACATGCTTAGATTTTTAGCAGAATAATGTGTTGCAACTTATTTCGCAAAGATTTGTCCCAACATGAAACACAAAAAGAAGCATTTTTCTTTTTTGTCAAGCAAAAAATAGGCCGAATGGATCGGTTGAATGGCTAACAAAATTATCGCAAAGTAGGACTTTTATGTAGGCCAACAAAATTTCAGAAGGTTATAATCTACAAAATTCTACAAAAAAATATTCCGCTTGACAATAAAAAAGTCAATTTTACTATCCGGGTTAACCTCGAATCACGAAACATACAAGAAAAAAAATTGTTCCATTATTTTCGTACACAATTATATTTTTAGTCGTAAGATAATTTCTATGCTCAAGTGTATTTTTCGAAAGATATTTGCCCGCAAAATTTTCTGATCTTTGCCTATAACTTTGAATGAATCCATAATTTTATGCTTTTGTATGACAAATGAAACAGAAATTCTTTTGACAAAAAATCGCGCCACAGTTTCTGATATTATCAAAAATATTGAAATCTAAATTTCGCAAAACATCTAAATAAATTGTGCAATTTTATTTCAGCTGAATGTGGAAAAAAATTTAATTTTTTTTGTTTAAAGTCAAATTAATTTGAGAAAAATGAGTTTTACAATGAAAAATTACTCCATCTGTGTCAGAACTAAACTTGATCACTATTGATTAAATACTTTGATCAAAAAAACTAAGTTGGTGCTGAAGTTGTATTTCTTCGTGTGACGGACTTACCTGACTATCAGAAAAAGCTGACTATAAATAGGAAATTAATATAAAATTTTAGAACAATTTCACAATCATTCAAACTTTTTGAACAATTTTTGCTCCCGATAAAAGAAGTATACGACTAGAATCAATTCCGGTTTTGCAGAAAAAAGAAAAATTCCCCTTGGGTTCAGAATCGATACATAAATCAAACAAAAAATTTTGTTTTGAGAGAAAAAGGCTTGTATTTTCTGTAATTTTTGTTTTAGTTGCTTATAGTCATCTGTGATCAATTTTTACTAACTTTTGGATGCATATGGATAAAATGAACAGCTTATAAGCTGAGATAAACATCTGAAACTCAGTTAAAAGAGGGGAGAAAACTGAATTGCACTGAACCAAAACCAAAAATTAATATAGGAAAATTAGAAACCAAAAAAAGCATGATTCTAAGATCCATATAGTTTTGCCAATCCTTTTTTCCTTATGTTTTTTTTTCTGAACCCACAAAACTGTCGCTCCATAAACGTGTTGGGCAATTGAAACATGTTCCGGGATTCAGCTTTCATTTTGAGGATTTTGCTGACAATCACAAAATATACAGTGTGGTTTCATAATATGGGTTAATCTTTTTTGAAATATTAAAATTTGCTCGTTCTAAAACGACCAACACGTTAATCCGCACTCTCCGCGCTTTTGCAATTTTCTGCATTTTGGTTGCTTGATTCCGCCTCAAAAACGGTTAGCGCCAAAAAGCGCTTTTAGCAAATATTGAGAATCTGTGGTCGAAAAGTTTGTCGTAACTTAGAAGTACCGAAGAGTAAAGCCTTTGGGTGGTGTTCGGTTCAAATTCCTGAAAAAAAACGTCACCCCCTTATTCCACCCTTGATAAGCCGGTCAATTTTGCCAACGTTTTAGGACTAGGAAACTTACTTTTACAGAATCAAATCAAAGTTTCGCACAATTTTGAAAGTATAGCCTGGTACTCTGTTTTTTTTAAAAATATTTTTTAAACTATTTTTATTAATCTTTATTCTTTTTGTTACTTTCTGTTCTTTTTCACATTTTTAGTTCCCAGCTTAACCAACAAAATTAACCTTCATTTTGATCTTTGAGGCGATAAAATTAAGTTTGAGAAGACGATACCAGCTTGAATTGCGAAAATGCTCATCGTCAATTTTAAGAATACAGAATCTGAGTTTCGAACTAATTTTTACGGTCGAAAAACAAAAAAATTGCAAGAAGCCTCATGGAGTTTTTAATTTTTTAATAGGACAACTAAAATTATTAGTTTTTAACTTGGACGATTCGATCAAGCCTCTTACCCAAAAGAAAATTTCGAAAACTTCTTGCTATGTTTTTGATTTTCAACCGTAAATTTTAATTCGAATTTCATAATCTGTATTCCTGAAACTGGTAAGAACTTATGGAGTTTCAATTCAAATTGCTTTCTCAAACTTAATTTTTTGCTTCAAAGGTAAAAAAAGTTTAAATTTGTTGCTTAAGCTAGGAACCAAAATTGCTTGTAACTAAAAAAAAAAATAACAAAAAGAACGAAAAAAAACTAAAAACAATAGGAAGCTAGCTTGCGATTTTTAAAAAAAACTGCGATTTTTTGTTCGTTTTTTTTCTGTGAAATATAAACAAAGACTTGCTTCAATTGTCCAAGAAAATAGATCTGTTTCTGCTCATCAATTTGCTGAGATCAGACCGATGCAAGGCCCATCAGAATATTTGAAGAGACTCAGTTTGGTTGTCAAAACTGAATAAACTAGTCAAAACTGATTTAACTTCAACAAGGTCAACAAGTGATTGCAAACTGATTTATTAGTCAGTAACTAATTAATGATACTTTTGTAAAACGTTTAGTTTTGTGATTTTGTCAAAACATTTTATTCAGTTTTTCATTGCATTCTTGAACAATTGCTACTCAATTCACATCTCAGACTAATTCCCAGTCTGCAACGCAGTTTTTTCAATTCTTGTTTCTCTAACTCTGAACCTGACCTTAATTGTTGCAAAAATGTTGCTTGTATTTCAAAAAAAATCAACTTTTTGTATCTGGTTAAAAATTGATTTTGAATCGATCATCGAGCAGTTGTCATCTGCCAGATTGAGTTTCAATAAAATTGGGGCAAGTTAAACCCTAAAGACATTTTAAAATATCAAAGGCGAAGTATATCTTTGTTATTGTATGTTTTCAATAAATATATCGAAAAAAAAACATCAAAACTCAATCACTTTTATCGACTACCGGAGTTAGCAAATGAATAACACTGGCCAAAATGCCAAAAAGATGTTATTTTTGAAGCTAAAGTTAAAAAATTGGATTAACTTTCAAAGCATAACCTCGGATTTATTCTCGCCTTTTTTTCAGTAAATGGGAAGATTAGATCAGACAAAACTAGAACGTTTATATTACTGACCTTTATTTTGTTCATTCAAAAAATAGAATTAAATATGATTTTTTTTCAGTCAAAACATTCAATTTCATTTATAATTTTTATATTGAAAGAGTGTTTTTCTAGTTTCCAGTTTTGTGACTACTTTTTTGTGGTGTCAATTTTCCGATCACAGCACTTTACACATGCTCTTCTTTGTCACCCAGGGGTTGGTGTCCTTTAGAGACCCGTTCAAGAAGGGGTCTGACTGCATGTTGGAGTGGCAATAGTGCACTAATGAGGGAATTGTCTGGGATAGTGGCAGTCGATTCAGCTTCGCTTCTTGTCTCAGTTGCATCACCTATAGAAAGAATCGAATTAACTATTCAATTTTTTTTCTTTATCAAGCTTAAAAACGTGAGAAAATTATTTTTTTTCCTCAAATCGCACGATCTGCAAATGTATTACAACCAACTATTGAATTTTTTGGTATAAAAACTTTGGAAGAGGTGATAATTGTTTTTTTTTCTCAGTTGCAACACCTCTAAAAAGAATTATATAATTTTAACTTTTTCTTTTTAAAAAAAGTTAAGAAACGTTATTTGCAGAAGAAAGATACGCCATAAGAGAAGTATTCTGTTTTTTTACTAGAAAAATCATTTCTACTTTTTTAAATTCTGCAGAAAAAAATCATCGAAAAAAGAATCAACAGCTAATGTAAAAATTACCATTGAATCTTTCATTTTGAGCTTTTGAACAAAAATGATTCTTGGAATTGAGAGAGCATAACGTTTCTTTTTTTTACGAGACTGGCTGAAACTTTTTTGATTTCCTCAAATAAATTTTTTGTTGAAATTTTGCTTTAACGCCCAAGATTTGGAAGATCATTTTTTCTCAATTGCAAAACATGCTGAATAAATGGAACAAATCTTCAGAACTACTTTATTTGAACCTGACAGAAAAAAAACATGAGATCTTCTAAAGAGTGTTTTTTAATATCAATTAGAACTCTGCAAAAAAATTGAGAAAAAGAGGAGACGGTCACTGTGCAAGTAGCAAAGAATGTTTCGACCACTTTATTTGAAAAATAAAAAGTTTAGGCCATCATTCGAGTGTGGCGTGAAGCCAATATCTGAAAAAAATGTTAAAACTTCACTTTTGGTCTTATTTATTGTCTTTCGCGAATCAAATAAAAAACCTCAAAAATTAAGCACAAGCGTCATCTTAAAAGATTGAATTTTTAGAAAATGATTTTCCCTAAAATCCAATTTTCAACTTGTTGTTTGAATCCCGATTGACAGGATTTCATTATGATTTGTCATTCAATTCATTTTGATTGTGATTTGCGTGGGATTCAAAAGTTAGAAAAAAATATTTCAGTGGGTGAAACAAAACTCAGCAGAATATCTTGATGAATTGTTTGGAAAATAGAACCTTTTTCCAGGCTTTCACCTTTATTTGCATGAAAAAACATCAGCAAAAAACCTTCCGTGCTTGTTTTTAAAACTTTTCCCTCTAACAATAACAAAAAACGCGTTTTTTTTGTTTCAAATTGGCCAAAGTAGTTCGATAGATAATTTGATCAAAGTAGCTCATCATTAAAATTTCGAAAAGCTATGTCAGAGAATTTTCGTTTAAGTTTTGCACTCTTAGCATCATCTTCTTTCAAAGATTAAAATTGCAATAAAAAACTGCTGAAAAACTCAAAGTTTGTTGCATAGAGTAACTTCTTATGCATGAAAACTTATCTGACCTTACGAATTTATCTGGCCAAAGCATGCCAAAACAAAACAGTCCGGAAAAGTATGAAAATGAACTAAAAAACAGTCCGGTACGAAACAGTCTGAAAAACAGTCCCAAGTAAAAATTGTTTTAACAAGCTGGTAGGCCGAGAATTGCCCTTTGTTCAACAAACATAAAGAACAAAATACTGAACGCCTCAGTCGCACCAAGGGGTTGCGAGCCTGCCAACAGAGGGTAGGACTTACTACGAAATTTAGAGCCGGCAACCTTAAACCGGACTGTTTTGTATTGGACTGTTTTTTTTCCTACATTACATGATTTTTTTGACTATTTTGTATTGGACTATTTAGTATATGCACCCTTAATTAATTGCCTGATAACGTTTTTCTGAAAACAAACAGCTATATTCTCATCAATGATGTTTATCGGAAAAAATCCCGGGTTGACCTCCATACACCGAAACTGCTTATCATACGATTCCATACAATAAAAATCATTTTCATACCATTCCATACATCAAGTGTATAGAGAAAATGCTTGCCATACATTTTTCATACATTTTCGAAAAACAGTAGAAAAAAAATTAAACCATTTCTGCGGCTTTTTGAGAACAGTTGAACAGAGTGGTGACCAAAAAACTGATTTGATTTTTTTTGAAAAAAAAATGCTTACCATACAATTTCCATATACGACACAAAAATTTTTCAGTAGAAATTTTGAATACTTGCCCCGAAAACTTGTTTGTTTTTTTTACGCAAACAAACATTTTCCGAAAAATATATTTTTTTCTTTTCACTTAAACTTTTTGTTTTCAAAACACTGAAATTTCCTATTTATTTTGTATGGCGTGTTTTTGTATGCCTTGATCATTGTCTGATAAACTGAAAATTCAAACATTTAAAATAATTATCATTGACTAATTTTGCCAAAACTTGAAAGTTTGTTACTTTTGTTATATAATTTTTGAAAGACATCTCGAAGACATTTCAGGTCGTTTTCCATGCTTTGTAAATGCAAGACCGTCTAGCCTTTGGTGCTTTGAGTAACCAAGGTCTTTGTCACTTGTGTTCGGTTGCAAACACATCCAAAAATTTAACAGAAAATAAATGTAGCAACAAAAAACAACTTTTTGATTTATGGAGAAAACCCATATCATTCAATTTCCATTTATGGGAAAATGTTTATTATAACGATTTCATACAATTTTCTGTATGTACGGAATTGTATGGAACTTTATGAAAAAAAATTTCCCATTTATGAGAATTAAATGATAAGCATTTTTGGTAAACCCGGGTTATATTAGTCTTTTATACCAGCAAAAAGTTTAGCTACAACAGGCGGTTTTAAAAAAAGCAAATAGCCTATTTCGGAAGAAGTTTGCATCTGAATTCTAATTATGCATGTATTGACTTGCCGAAAATTGAAAGTTACTTATTTTGGATTGAGAACTGCTTTGTCTATTCAATGTTTTGATATTAATTATAATCAGTAAAAAAAATGAAACTAACAAAACTAATTAAAAATATCAATCTGGCAAAATCAAGCATAACTGACCTTGAGACATCAATTCTGTATGAAAAGTCTTAAGCCTTAAGTTTTTTGTCTCCATAGTAAAATAGTTCTCACATTTAATTTTTTTAAACAGGGATTTTGCTTTTCTTCATTATATTGACAGATTTTCATTTTTTTGCTTTATATTTTTTTATATCAGACCTGTTTCTGTTCTTTCATCAACATCCGCTTGGAAAATCCTGAACTGCCATGAGTCGCCGGAGTGTTCTGGTAGCTCATCTTCTGCTGATACTGATGACTCATATTGCCCATTCCAACATGCTGTTGGGCCATGATTTGGGGCATAGAATGGGCTCTATGGTCAAAAATTGAAAGGGTGATTCTAACAATAAACAATTGAAATAATTTGTTGTTTTTCTGTGGAATTTTGGGCACTAAGCAAAGTATTTCGGAAAGAAATGTTTGACGATTTACTTCAGAGTTATTTTCATAAATTACAATTTACAAAACAATATACATTTTAGTTATTTTTGAGATTTCCGACAATCGCCCGCCAGAATTTTGTTTTTTTTTTAATGAAATTTTTTCATGAAAATTTTTTCTTCGAGGTTATTCAAAAAGTTTTAAAAGACTCAGCACAATTTTTGAAAAAATTTCAAACGTTTAGAATCAAAACAAAATGAATTATTGGAAATTTTCATAGTTTTTTACAAAACTGATTTTCAAATTGAAAAAAAAATGTCTCACCTGCTCGTCTGTTGTTGTTGATGTTGTTGTTGATGTTGTTGTTGATGATGTTGTTGTTGATTTCCATAGTAAAGATTATCTCTGCCCCCGATCCCTCCTTGCGTGTAAGTTGACTGAGTGTACTGTGCATATTGGGGGGTGTAGCTGTAGTCTAGGGGGGCACCCCCGTAGTAGTTCCGAGTGAGGGGGTCCCTCGCAACCAGTCTGAAGTAAAAAAAACAGAGGAAGCAAAAGAAAACAAGGTTGTCCAATATTTTTCGTGAAAGCGTGGACACAAAAATTCGTTTCTTTGAATAATTTGTTCATATTTTGAAATTATCATAATTTTTTTGTTTCAACAAATTCACAAAATTTATAGTGTTACGTTTGTCATTTATCCGATTATGATATTGGACCTTAATTACATGTGCATGTTACAAGATGTCATTAACTGCAAAAATAATATCGGGTCCAGATCGGATATATGACAACTACAAAGGCTATAAAGTCGCCATTTTGATCTAACAAATACAAAGGTTTTGATTGAAATTTTTGAGGTTATGTTATCATTGGCGACATTGAAATGGAAAAAAAAGAATCAGTTCAAAAAGAAAGAGATTAATTTAGTACCTGTTTGAATCCATTTCTACACTGTTTATAATTTATGAGTAGATGATTTATGAACTTATGAATAGTTAACTGATCAATACACAATATGAAAATTCGAAGCTTGATACGAACTATGAAAGTTCTTTTTCAGTCAAGATTGATTTTAACAGATAAATCATAACCTGGTTATTAAAAAACTTCGCTGCAAGTGTAGCTGGTAGAATATTTGTCTTACTTGATTTTGCGTTTGGAGTGAATCACACAAGTAACCAAAACTAAACATGACAACTCATATTTATAATATGCAAATAAAGCTGATGATATTAAAATTGAATTGATATTTTTCTATTATAACTACAGGATAATGAAAAAACACAACGATCTTAAAAAATGCTCAAAGATTTTGAAGTACGTCTTGACATCGCAGCAAAGGACTTCATTGAATCAGACCAATGACCACCTCGACGTTCAAGACGTACAGATCCAAGTTACAAGGCATCCCCTCCAAATTCGAGCTTCACGCCACTCCCAAACAAGATCGAAACACAGTTCTCCACCGAACAAGAACAAAATATCATAACAAGCCATTTGGAAATCAGATTGATTTTGTTAGCGGTCACAGTCATTGTTGAATGACAAAACGATACTCACGATTCCAGCTATCTGGAGCTTCCTCCTCCATGAACGGAATGAAAATGATGCTCGGGAAATACAAACGACCATCATCCACCCTCCGTTACAGATAGATGTCAAAGAACAAAAAACTCTGTAAACCCCGGTTGGGTGGAACCAGATCCAAACTATAATTTAATATTGGTAATAATTTAGATATTTTATCCCTATAAAATATTAAGGACTAGCCAATCACACTCCATCAAACTAACAACCCACTTATTTGTAAGTGCTGAAATTACTTGTAATTTCAGCACTAGAGAGATTTGAATTTAATTTACAACTTAGTTGCTTTCTCCAAGAGACCGACTCGTAGCAAAACCAGTATACTCTAGATCTATTGAGACTAAGAGATATAAGAGTAAGATTAAGATCTGTTTTAGACTAAGAAGTTGCACGACTCTATCCGACCGAAAATAAGATAGCGTGACGAGCAGACGGTGTACCCTATCTGAAATTACTCTATGAGTTAGACCTTAGGACATAACTCAAGTCGGTTCAATTAACAAAAATCTTGTTTAAATTCAATTCTCAGAGAAAAGGTTTCGCGCAACTTCAAAAAATTTTCTTTGTCCCTTTTTAATTGACGTTTAGCAAAGGCGCCTGGGGGGTTAAGTTTTTAAGACTTAAATAAAAAGTTTCAGAAGTTCTTTTCAAATTCCATTTATTCGAAAACTAATTTTTTGTTAATTGTTTTGTTGTTATTTTAGGGCGCCAGTAATTAACGTCAAAAAATGGGTTAAAAAGAGTTTATTTGTTTTTTCGAATAATGCATTTGAATTAAAAGGCGCCCAAAATCTGTTCTCCCTGAATTGAATTAAATCAACTTTTCTTTCTTCTAACCAACTAGAAAACAGATTTTCGCCCTAAAAGTCAGAACCTTCAAAGATTGTTTTTAAAAACCTATTTTTTTGTGAAACCAAAGTTTTCTGAAACAAAAGGAGGAAACATATCTCTCAAACATGTCATCAGTATTAACAGCAGTAATACCGAACTCAACATCTTTTGATCTGTCTGAGCGCGAGCCACTGATTTTGCCTCCTTTGGAAGTCATGCTGGCTACAATCGTCGGTAACTTCCTCTCAATCTTCTCTCAAATCATCGTCATCATGATTTCTCTAGGGCTAGACGGCGACAACTCCGCCCAGACAATCATGATTGTTCAGTCAGTGGCCGAAATCATAAAGAGAGTGAGCACGTTTCCGCTGGTGCTTTGTGGCCTGACAGGTAAATAGACTTCAAACTAATATACCCAAAAGTTACACCGATCACTATTTAGCCAGATAAAACTTTGTTGAATTATTTTTATAGTTTCTTTTTCTTTTAGGTTGTTTTTATTGATTTATTAAAATTTTTTATAATTTATACAGTTTTTCTATTTATTCTTTTAGTTTTTTTATATTATGTTTGTTCATTTATATTTATTACTTCATTCAATGTTTATTTAATTTTTTTTCTTACAGTTCTGCTACGACCATTTGCAAAAGAGGGAGGAACTTTGTATTCGCGTGTGTTCTAGTTTTTATTTCTTTTTGTTTTCCTCGCCAAATTAGGTATCACAAACAATAAGCTGAATGGGTCTAGTGATATATCAAACTAAAGTTATTTTCAGTTACGATATTAGGAAACGTTGAAAAATATCTCTCAATGTCGAGAAAAACGCGTTTGAACTTTTGGGTTTTGTTCTAAATTCGAGCGGATAAAACAAGCAAGTATGTTAATTGTGCGTAATTTAGGTCATTTACAATAGCCTTGTTGGGTTAAACTTAGTTTTACTTTCAGCAAAATTTGTTTCTCGAATCTTTTCAATGCTTTTTTGGGAAACAAAAAGTTCAGAAATTCAAAAACTCTCAGCAAAAAATGTTATTCTACTTTTTCTAATTGTTTATCAATAATTTTTTTTAGTAGTCTTTTTTCTGAAATTATTGCCGTCCAGTTTGCGTTTTTCATCAATACTTACGTCTAGTTGTTCGTTCAGATCCTCTCATCACTTCTAGCGAAAAATTTATATAATTTCAACTTTTAATTTCTAAAATTTTCTATTTTTTGCTCTTTTATCTACTCACTGAATCATTGAGTGAATAATTTATAGTTTTTTTGTTAATTTTTTGATTATAGTTTTTTTAAACTTTGATTCCTAAGTTTTTTGGTTTTGCTTGTTATTTCCTTATTTTTTCTTACAGTTTTTGTTTTTTCATGATTTCATTTAAAAATCTTTTTTTTATTAACTTTTTAGTTTGTTTTTCAACTATTTTTTTCAACTTTTCTACTATTTTAAATGTTTCTGCCTTGTTCTTACCAATTGGTTTTTTATTTGTTTTTTTTTTGTCTTTTTAACTTATCTATTTGACTTTCGATTTTTTTCTATTCAGTTTTTTTAGAAACTTTTTTGTTCATTATTTTTTTTTTCATGTATTCATTAATTCGTATAATTAAACCAATATGAAACAAAAATTGATTTGAAAATCAAAGCAATTTCTGGGACACCTAGCAAATGATTCAGCGCACGTTTTCTGTTTTTTACTTTAGTTAAGAAATCGGTAATGTGCTATCCATTTGCGTTTTCTGGGCTTGTTTATGCAATTAGCTCAATTTTCAAACAGTATTTTCGAGATGGAAGGGCAAAGAGCGCACAAGCTCAAATTCAATACAGCGCCGCAACTTTGTCTTGACAACAATTTACTGCAATTTTATCTCGATTAATTTAGAAGGCTCTCTAAAGCTACGGGTTTGTTTTTCTGCTATTGTTCCGACTTTCGATACGAAAGTAACGGAATATTTGTGCTCGGGGTGGTTTTTTGTAGACAAATTTCGACTTTTTAACTAGCCATTTTCGACGTAACTTTTAAAAATCAAACGAAAGGTATTGTTTTCTTTAACTCATAATTGAAGAAATGTTTCACCTGTGATCATTTTTCGTAAAGTTACGGGGGTTTAAAGATTGCCATTTTGGCCAATTTGGGTCAATTAACGCGCGATATGTTTCGCGCTATTAACGCGTAAGCGGAGATTAAATACGTCCTAGAAATTGTTCCAAGTTGGTTGAAAGAAGCTTATTTTGCTTATTTTGATCTGATTTTGCTCGAAAACTTTTTTGAAAACGTTTTCGAAACCTTTGGACTTTTAATAAAAAGAAGTATTCAAGAAAAAATTCATAGATTTTTGGAAACAATTTTTTTTGCCTGCTCCATAGACAGTTTTTGAAACACATTTAAAAAAAAATTTTCAGCTACACTTCATGTTCAAAATTCTAGTTGAGGCAAGTTTTTTTCAACAAATTTGATTAATCTTAAATGAAGTAAAACAGCTCGCTTTGTCATCGCATAAAAAAACAGTGTTAGAAATTGTTCGAAGTTGGTTGAAAGAAGCTTATTTGCCATAATTGATTTGTTACAAGGACTGAAAGCTATCTTTTTGTACTTAATATGGCGTGTGGGGGGTCGATTTTAAGATTTTTTTTTGTCATTTTGTTTTATTTTGTTTAGTTTTTTCATATTATTCTTGCTCCATAAACCCTAAAAGGCAGTCGCAAGATTCAGGGCTCTGCCCTGACACGAGCAGTCTTGTTTTATTTTGATCTGATTTTGCTCGAAAACTTTTTTGAAAACGTTTTCGAAACCTTTGGACTTTTAATAAAAAGAAGTATTCAAGAAAAAAATTCATAGATTTTTGAAAACAATTTTTTTTGCCTGCTCCATAGACAGTTTTTGAAACACATTTTAAAAAAATTTTCAGCTACACTTCATGTTCAAAATTCCAGTTGAGGCAAGTTTTTTTTCAACAAATTTGATTAATCTTAAATGAAGTAAAACAGCTCGCTTTGTCATCGCTTAAAAAACAGTGTTAGAAATTGTTCGAAGTTGGTTGAAAGAAGCTTATTTGCCATAATTGATTTGTTACAAGGACTGAAAGCTATCTTTTTGTACTTAATATGGCGTGTGGGGGGTCGATTTTAAGAATTTTTTTTTGTCATTTTGTTTTATTTCGTTTAGTTTTTTCATGTTATTCTTGCTCCATAAACCCTAAAAGGCAGTCGCAACATTCAGGGCTCTGCCCTGATACGAGCAATCTTGTTTTATTTTGATCTGATTTTGCTCGAAAACTTTTTGAAAACGTTTTCGAAACCTTTGGACTTTTAATAAAAAGAAGTATTCAAGAAAAAATTCATAGATTTTTGGAAACAATTTTTTTTGCCTGCTCCATAGGCAGTTTTTGAAACACATTTTAAAAAAATTTTCAGCTACACTTCATGTTCAAAATTCTAGTTGAGGCAAGTTTTTTTTCAACAAATTTGATTAATCTTAAATGAAGTAAAACAGCTCGCTTTGTCATCGCATAAAAAAACAGTGTTAGAAATTGTTCGAAGTTGGTTGAAACAAGCTTATTTGCCATAATTGATTTGTTACAAGGACTGAAAGCTATCTTTTTGTACTTAATATGGCGTGTGGGGGGTCGATTTTAATTTAAAAAATTTCAATTTTAAGAATTTTTTTTTGTCATTTTGTTTTATTTCGTTTAGTTTTTTCATGTTATTCTTGCTCCATAAACCCTAAAAGGCAGTCGCAACATTCAGGGCTCTGCCCTGACACGAGCAGTCTTGTTTTATTTTGATCTGGTGTTGCTCGAAAACTTTTTTGAAAACGTTTTCGAAACCTTTGGACTTTTAATAAAAAGAAGTATTCAAGAAAAAAATCAGAGATTTTTGGAAACAATTTTTTTTGCCTGCTCCATAGACAGTTTTTGAAACACATTTTAAAAAAATTTTCAGCTACACTTCATGTTCAAAATTCTAGATGAGGCAAGGTTTTTTTCAACAAATTTGATTAATCTTAAATAAAGTAAAACAGCTCGCTTTGTCATCGCATAAAAAACAGTACGAGGCAAAACTAAGCGCATGATAGGCGCCCATTTTGTTTTTTGAATTTCTCTGGAGCCCAGAGACAAGTCTTTAAACATGTCAAAGTTTTCTCGGAACGATCAAAGAAAACGAACGAACTAAAGAAGAACAAAGAGAGCGTTCTTGTTTTGGGAGTCCGGACACAACGCTAATTTTGGCCTCAAAAAGATGGCCGAAAAATTAAACTGCTGTAGAAGTACAAATTTTTGACTGATTTTTTTGTTAACTAGTGACTGAAGTTTTATTTTTTTTTTCATAATTTACAGGACCGTTATAAAGCCCAAATTGATGTCTGCACTAAGAGCAAGCGAGCTTTCAATACTCAACTGCGTTTAAATCATCCTTTTTGAACGAAATTGGAATTTTGATTTTGTTTAGGTGGTGATGGTTGGATATGTCTTTACCTTACGGATCTTGTTGCGTATAACCTGAAGGAAGCTGTTATAAGATTCGCACGCTCTATCCCGGACGTTTTGGCATTCTTGCTGTCTTTCGATCGCTACATTGCTATTAAATACGCTGCCTGGTACCGGGAGAACTGCACCCGCAGAACAGCTTGGTACGTCGTAGCGCCTGCACTCCTCATCAGAGTACCAGATGTCGCGCTTATTCTGTGGATGTCGAATTGGACGACTAGCGGTGACGGGTTCTCAAACACAACTTCGGTATAGTTTTTTTTTTCGTTGTAAATAAACCATCCGATAAATATAAACCAAAAATGCGCAGAGTGTACACACCAGCCAAAAACACAGCAGCCAAAAACACAACAGCCAAAAATACACCAGTAGAGTCATCGGCCAAATAAATGAAGTTCGCATAATTTTGAGAATTTGGTTATCCTGAGAAAATTTGGACGAATTGGGTAAAAAAACTGGAAAAAAAACCGAGTTGTTGCACAAGTTTTGCACTGAAATGTCTCATAAATAAAGTTGTAAGCGAACAGTTTTGGTTCATTCCCAAAACACAGGCAAACTGTTAATAACGGAAGACCGAAACTTATGCACTCATTTCTCCTAATTACACAACAAGAGCATGTTTAACCAACAGATCTGACATGCTAAATTTTTCCTTTGCTAAAAGTCAAGAACAACTAGAAAGGCCCATAATTTAACAGCATTAATCCAAACACAACCAAGTTACACCAATTTAACTTTGACAAGTCAAAAACCCAGTAATTTTCAGCCCGAAACACTGAAAACCTAATCTATAACTTTGCTGTGATTTCAGAACTACCCAAGATACTGAATCAAATCTGACTCGCTTAATCTTTCCTTTGATAACATTCAAGAACAACTATAAAGGACCCCATTTCATCATAATATATTTCAGTTAAAGTTATATATTTTTAAATTTCTTCTAATCAAATTTTAAAAATAACGGTCCAAATGCTGAAAAGACATGTATATGGATTGTAGAACGTTGAAATCAAACGATTTGTTCTGGGATTTATTTGTTTGCAAAAATCAGTGTGACTAATTAACTAAATCTTTTGTACAGAAATGACAACTGGAGACATGATTTCAAAATTACAGAATAAAAAACAAAATTTTTATTTCAAAGTCTTAGAAAAAAGAATCCGATTCAAAGTAAGTGCTAAAAAACTTGAAACAAAAAAATATAAAGCTGAAAGAAAGCCCAATCTCTGATAAAAGCTCTGGTAAATATTTTGATCAGGTAAAATCAACAGCTCAATTGTAGAATGTCCAAAAAATCTTTCGGCTTTAAACTGGATGATACACTTCGTTTCACATTGATTGTTTCAAATTTTAAACAAAAATCACAAATTCTTGTATACCACTTTATACTAATTGCATTGAATATTTACTCAGAATGGCTTTCGAATAATCAAAAAATTTATTTATCAATATATCAAAACGCACTACTGATATATGTAACTGCTAACAACAAACTGGTACTTCCAAATTGCTTTCGTTTTGAAAAAAAAAAACAGAACATCCCTCAACACTAACAGACAAAACTATGTTTTGTTGTCGGAGATTTGCATGTTTCCAAGTTTTTGAAATTAATAACTAGCAATACGGTTCTCTCTTTATTCAATCTTATCTATGTATTAGACAAAAATTCAATTTATGTGATATGAAAACGTCAAAACAATTAACTAAGGTCGATTTCGTATCGAACCAGAATCTTTTGATAATCTGTGATAACGAAAAATTGATGAAAATTTTGTTGTACTTAGAAACTCAACGGTTGTCATTGTTGTTTGCTCATGAAGACGCTAATCAATGAGCAGCTAACTGCCGGAACTGAACCTTCTTTATGATAATATCCCTGTTTGGAAACTAATTTTTTCATTCACGCCAGCAAAAAGCGTTTTCTAACAAAAATCGTTTTCATTCACGCCAGCAAAAAAATTTACAAACTAATTTCCAAGTTAATGAAGATCCAAGGTGAGGATCCTCAATACTGATTCCCTAAATGTAATTGTTTCTTAACTTATTTTGAAGATTAAACAATCCAAACCAAGAGTTGACACTTTTTTTGTTTATCACAAAATTTTGCGACAGCATTGTTTTCAAACATTTTAAAACATGAGGGACAATTTTTTTCAGTCGCAAAAATTTTCTAGACTTAAGCAAACAAAACTTAGAAACTGCAAACAAAATTGGATTTTTTGTGTCTAGAACATAGTTCATTCACAACGACCGTTTTTGCACAAAAAAAAACATTTTCCAATTGTGTGATTTTCTTGAAGCCAGAAATTTTTTAAATATCAATTTATATGAATCAGAGGACCGTCATGAAAAGAAGCCGTGGTTTTAAACCATCTTTTTTTGCAAAAAATCACTTGGCTAGCCGTTATATAAAAAATGTCGATGTTTGATACATTAATAAGTGAAAATACTACACTACTTAAATGGCGAGCCTCCGTTTATCAGTAAGATTCCTGCTTTACAACCTGCTGGTTTTCTCATGTGACTAAACCCAAAATTTTGAGGCGAAATTATGCAACAAATAAAGCTAGACAAACAAATTTATACAGACTGTGCCATATTGCTATTTTTACAATTTTACACTGGAAAAAACGGCTAGTTCTAAAGTAAAGTTCTAGTTTCGTTGGTGGGAATGGTGTTATTAGCGATTTTTGTCATCCCAGGCACGTAAAAAAAACAAGAATAAAAAAACCGTTGGGATTTTAGCGGAGTACCACAGTACATGTTTTTGGGAGTTTTTTTTAATAAGTTTCGACAAGCCAACAATAGTTCGCTGCTAACTGTTAAATCTTGAAAAAGATTTTAAGTTCAAATCCATGAAAAATTTTTACTGAACTTACTTTTGAGAAAACTGCCAACTTGGTCTTATACCCAATTGTTTTTTTCAAGAGAATTATGTTTTTCATTGCAGCGCCAAATCAATTGCGGCGATTTATCTTGTATATAAACTTCTTCGGAAATGACGAAATTTCTTTTGCGAAGATTAAAACGAAAAACTTCTGATCATAAGCAATATAAAACATATTTATGTCCAAATCATAAAACCTAAAAATATCTTTTTGTTAGTTTTTTGTGTAGTTATTTGTGTTTTAACTTGAGACTAGTTCTTTGAATAATTCGATCTGGGAGAAGAGTTATGCGCTATTTACACTATTTTTACTGCTAAGCGTGAGCTGTAAGAAAAAATCAAATCAACATAATTGAATCGAAGCAAACTAATTGTTCAAAAGAATGCCCTTCAACTTGAAAAACAACTCATTTTTTGAAACAGCCTGAGGTGTAAATATTGTTTAAAACTCATAAACAAATTTGTTTTCCTAGTAATCAAAAGCAATCTTTGATACCTTTATAAGCAGTCAGATGATTCAACGTTTTAACTTCAAGCAGGGTTTCTTATACTAATTATCAACTGTTCAAAATTGAAGTGAGCTTTAAAATTTGTATATTACTAGCTATTGGACAGTCGGAAAATTTCAAAATTAGTTCGGATAGCAGAAATTTTGTATAGATTGTAACCATTTTTCGAAATTTATTCTAATTGGTGAAATTACCAGAAAAAAATACATATAAAGAAACATTGCGGAAAAACGATATTTTTTTCAACTAGTTTACTTAGTACCAAAAAAAATACAATTTTGCAAATTAAAAAAATTGTTATGAACAGTGTTTCAAACAAAGTGACTCAAAATTTAAATTTTTTGATCTCAACAACAAAGCTTCAATTAAATTTGAAAAAAAAATAGATGAAGAGAAAATTTGGTAAAAATAGAAAAGCATTTGCTAAAAAATAGTTTTTCAGATGAAAGCCAATTTCTGCGATTTCCTTTTTTCAACAAATCTCATTAAAGTTTATCCATTTGTTATCCTTACAAGTTGTGTACCACTTATGTCATTAAAAATGTAAATCGCAGCTCGTTTTTATACTATTTTCAAGGCCACTCTCCACTTTCTACTAATCTCAGATCTTAAAATTGGAATAAGGTCATGAAATTGTAGGTCGAGCCGTAGATTTCATTAAAACTTGCCCGAATTCTACTTGATATAATTAATCTAATTTTGTTTAGTAAGTTTGTAAACAATTGTTTCAAAATAACTCAATGGTTCGTAAAAGTCATTTTAAAAAAGTCATTGAGAAAGAGTTCCTAAAGCAGTGTTTGCCTCAATCAACCAGCATAGTATAAAAACTTACAAATTGACCTTTGATCTGTCATTTTTTGGGCAAGTCATCCAAAGTCATTTGGTGGATAAATTTAAAATATGATCTCTCGAATCAGGGTAAAAATTCGCCGAAAAACTTCCCAATAACAGAACCTAAACAGTTTTAGGTGATTAACTTTTCTGTGAATGCACGGGTTTACCTGCATAGACTGTTGATCATGCAATTCCATAATTTAGCTCTATCTATAAAAATACTAGTCACACAAATTTGATAATTTTTTTTAAAAAAGGTGAATTGAATTTTTATAGAACTTTTGTCTTGTTTTGTCTTAAAAGTCGATGTAATGAACTAAATGCAAAGCAATAAAAATTGCCGAAAAAGCTAATCATACAACATCCTTATAAAAAAAAGTATGACCAGCATTTTTTCGATGGCGACTACAGAAACTTTTCAGAAAAAAAAAATTGAAATGAACCCAAAGCTTTTATTGTTTTTTTTTTATTGCAAATCGAGTTTTGTAGTGAAACAAACTTTTTTCATAAAAGAAAGTTTTGTGTGCATTACGTAGTCCAGAATACACAAAAACAGGATTTTTTTTCTGTTTATCTTGATAACTTTTTTTCAAAAACATTAAAAACCCTATTTCTTTTGTATTGTATTTTTATGCTCTGATCAATGTCTGATACTTTAAATTTTCAAATTTTGAAAAAAAATCCTGGATAGTTTTTTCCCAAAAACTAAAAATTGTTGCATTCAGTATATAATTTGTGATGAAAGCTCTTATCGAATGCTGGTGATTTCCATTACATCCAAAAATGCAAATCGATCAAACTATGGTTTTTGTCATTTGTTTTTGGTTACGAACACATCCCATAAGTTGTGGGAAATTAATTTTGACAAATAAACATTTTTTTTGACTTATGGCAAAAAGATAGTCATACAATGTCCATATAGAAAAAATCACTAATCATAGACTTTTCATGCACTTTACTATACTTCTGGAATCGCATGAAAAGTGTATGATTAGCATTTTTTCATATAAGAAAATTGTAGGACTAGCATTTTTAGTCAACCCGGTTGACTACCCAATAGACTACTTATTAACAGATCCTAAATGGTTGCAAGGGTTTAACTTTTTTGCGAATGACCACTCAATAGACTACTTAATAACAATTTCTAAACTGTTGTAGGTGCTTAACTTTTTTGCTACCTTCTTTTTGTGAAAATTTGAAAAAATTTTGTTTGATCTTCGAAAACAAACATTGTCAAATAATAACTGTTGTAGTATAGGTTTTGTATAACTAATGCAAAATAATCTGCTCGATTAGTTATCTGATGTAGTTTTTTATTAGTCTAAAAATATAAATAGTTTTTTTTTTCTGACATTTTTTACAGCACATGCTGTTCGATAACAAAATGTACCTTTTTCCCAAGTAGTTAAGCAGTATTTTGAGCAATTGGTTTGGTTCAAGTCAAATTGAAAATATTGATGCGCGGATGTAGACCACCGTTTGTATAGGCACCAATAGAAATCTTGTAATTAGTGCGTTTTGAAGATCTTAGTTTGAATTTTTCTTTCAAACTGATCCCCAAAAAATTATTTAAGTTTAAATTACTATATGATATGTTTTATGAATTCTTTCATCTTTCTGAAATCATGTAACAAATATTGCTAATTGGCGACAACGAAATGCATCTTAATAATTTTTTCAGCCTAAAGACTAAAATCATTCCAAAACAGCTCCATGATTTCCCATAAATGTCTGATTGCACTTTCATATTTGGTCAATTATGCTCTGTAAATTGAAAATTTCATTCTTATTCCTCTCTTTTAGTTGCATTTGTCGGTTGTGAACACAGCAGTTGATGTTTTGGGAGCTGTGATGGTTTTGGCGAATACTATCGTGACGTCATTTCTCATCAAGGAAATCGTGAGGAGGAGAAACCGAGGAGTTACGAGACAGAGCAATGAATCAAAGGCCAACACTGTAAAAATGGGCGGATATAGTATTTCCGAAAGCTACAGCTTTTGTTTTTAATTGCTTTCATTTAGCGAATTCGTTTGAATAGCCAATTATTTTTAGCTACATTTTTAATTTTTTTTATGCTAATTTCGGCCGAGTGTTTAAACAGTCCGCAAAAATATTTGTACTCAACAAAAAAGGAAAATTGTAATTATTTTGAGAGAAGTTTTTGGTAAATTGGGGTGATTGAATTTGGGTCTAACTATGTTAAATTAACTCCAGTTGTGACAAAAAAGCATCATTTTTTTTCCAGTTTTAATCGTATGCGTAGCGCAAGTGGAAGCTCAAACGTCGTCTCACAAAGGGTTCTACATTAAATAGAGGCTATCTAATTGTTCCAGGCTAGCTAACTTTGAAACTTCGCCTGCACGAAGTTTTTCCATCATTTTTAATATTTTTTTTACATTTTTTCAATTCTACCAAAAACTACTTACTAGTCCTTAGCAAATTTTCTACGCGTTGCCCTGATAAAAACAACCTGGTTCTTGTTTGTGTTTCCGACTGTTTTTTACTCAACTCAAAATAACTCAACTTGATATTTTTCATGAAGTTATGAGCGTATAAAGATGGTCAATTTGGCCAACGTGTCAGAATCGTTCCAAGGAGGCAGGCTCTTCTGCTTATTCAAAACTTTGCTTCGTGAATATTTCACTTGTTCCTTACATAGCGTTTAGGAGGATAATTTAAAAAAAAACAGTTTGAAATTTTTTTTATTGTTTCTGATAAATAAAGTCTGAATATTTTAAGTTTGGAAGTAAAGATTGAAAATATAATCCGAGACTGAAATTTTCAGAAAAAACTCTTTTCAGAAAAAACTCATCGTTTATTCTTTATAAAGTTCTTCATAGAACTTTTCGCCCTGATACGAGCAGTCCTGTTCAATTATTTTAAGAAGTTTTTTCAGATATCATGATGTTAGGAAATTGTAATTTTCAAAACAAACGTGCAATGTTATGTAAAAAAAAACACACTACTTCAGAATTTGAGGAAACAAAGTTCACTATGATAAAAATCTAAAGTTCACCGACATACTACTCTGACTTAATATCAGTGCCACTTTGCTAATATGAAAAAAAAACACTTTATTTTGAAGAAAATTGGAAAGTTACGAGAAGATGTTTATTTTCAGGTTGATTGTTGGCGGCGCAAAAGTAGCATTAACGGCTGCAGGGTTGAGGGTAGAAGGATCGGACTCCTGTAGTTAACTGTATTAACTCAATTTGATAGGTTTTACAACTAGCTGAAAACTAGCCAAATTAGGGGTAATTTATCGCAAAAATTTGCTATTGTGTCATTGAAAATCTATAATTCATCGATGACGATCGCTGTTTTTTTTCGGATTTTATCGCTAGTTTTCATTGTAAGCTCAACTCGGGAGCGCAATTTTTCTAATAACGAAGAAAAAACTTTCTGTTTGAAAAAAATTGGAACATTACGAGAAGATGTGAATTCTCGGGGGAGTTGTTAAGGCTCAAATTATAACAAAAACAAGATGTAGAAAATTTTTGTTCAAAGCCTAATTGAAAAAAAATAAAATCAACTTACCATTTTTTTTTAAATTTAAGTTGAGCGCCTTTCTGGCTACAATGAATAAAGCTGTATTTATGAGAAAATAATTTTTCCCCAAATTAATTCAATAGTAAATAATTTTTCAATAGCTTAAGTCTTTTAGAAAAAAAAGAATGCGAAAGAATGAGTAACGCAGTTCTATTAAACCAACCCTAATTGCTGCTTTGGGCGATGAGTTAAAACGCAGATAGGACTGTTCATATCAGTTCGGAATTTCAATATCAGTTCGGAATTTCAAAAATTTCGATCGATTTTTAGAATCTGTCGATGATTTTTTTATCTGAGCAATATATAAAACATGAAAAACGAAAAAAGATACACTTTGGATTTTTCTATTCAGTTTTTTCACTCAGAGATCTCCCCTCTTCCGCTAAATTCTAAGCACAGTAGCGGTATTCTAAGCAAAATTGCGTTATTGTCTAGTATTGTAACAGTAACGTCGAGTATCTTGCCAATTTTTTACATGGAAAGATTTCCGAGATGAACTGAATCAAATTTAATAGCACCAAAAATGACGCGTATTAGCTGTAACAACTAAAGAAAATTTGAGCTTTCACGTAACTTTTGAGTTTTCTGTTTTATACGTTTACTGGTAGTGCGTATTTTTAGAATTTCAAGTTTTTGAACACTTTTTCATTCTTGACATCTTCAGAAACTGTTAAAAAAATAATCGCATGTTCAAAACCGTTGCACTTTTAAGCTCAACACATGATGACTTTTGTATTGGGAAAAATAAAAACTACTTAAAACTACGGAATAAATGCGAAGAACTGTCAAGAATTTATCTTTGTTTTCGGAATTGGAAACAAAAGTTATCTATGTATCTGAGGTTATAACGGACCTGCCTTGCAAAAAAAGGAAACGAAAAATCCAGCTTTTTTCAAATGGAGTGTTCAACCTTTGTCTCTAAAATTTCAACATAACAAGTAAAAAAAATTTTTTTCTCAAAAACATCACTTAGGTGTTTTAGCCAGAATCTCGCAGAAAGACTCGTCGCTTTTTGAATATTAACGCTATACATTGTTTATAGTAATCTAGAATGCCTAGAATACATCTACGTTGAAAAAATTGTTGATTGAAAACTGAGACCTGTTTTTTGACATTTTTTTTATCAAATAAAACAAAAAGTCGTTCTGGGTTTTTGAAATGATTATTAGATATTTGGTTATGAGTTACGTTATTGGCACAGACTTTATGATATACATGCAAATTCGTTTTCTAGAGTTTGTTTGTTTCACCATAAAAACGGTGTTGCGACTAATTTTGACAGACGTCAAATCAACGTCAAATTGTTTTCTCTCAATCAAAAAATACAATCATGTTAAGTTCTATCAACTTGAAAAAAAGTTTCAAAAAACGACGACTTTTTGTAAAAAAGCGGACCGTGCAATTTTGATGTAGAAATGGCATAGATAGTTTTCTTTCTAATGAGTTGTTTATCTTCAAATGCTTTTGGTTTCTGCTGTCTAAAAAACTTATAAGCAGATGTTCAAAAAAATTGTCTAAAAGGTTCAAACCTAAAAATTAATTTAAAATGTTTGCTGAACTTTTTTATGTACAATGACGGAATAGCAACTTACGCTCTTTTTATGGAGATCATCGCGGACTTGCATTATTCTTTCTTCAATTTGAGTTGTTTGCATACAATATAGGTTTTTTCCCAGAAACAATTTGAGACCATTTTTTTGCGCCGAAGTTTTTCAATCTACGTTCTGTTCTACTCAGGCGACCAAAATTTTCAGAGTAAAGAACCTGCTCAGTACTCGGAAAAGTCCGATTGTTGAAAGCTCCACTGTTTTTGGAAACTTTGCATTTTCTAAAACAAACTAACATATCTGAGATAAAGAACTCATCAAAAAAACCGCCTATGGGATAAGCGACTAAGATTTTTTTGCACGAGCGAGTACGCCTGTACTTACACAGAAAAACCATTATGGGCTTGCAATTGTTGAATTTTGGTCAGTTTTTGGAAACGGTTTCATTACCCAGAAATTAACCCACTAAATCTGAGATTATGGTTTTAGTAGAAAAAGCAGGTTATGGGAATTTATTCTGCATGAGCGTTTTTAAGTTGAGTGGAAAATCCTATTTTTGACATTTATACCGGTTTTGGAAACTTTTTTCCAAAACCAAATTCTGATCATCATCAAGTTTTATGACATTTTAAGGAGTATTTTATGACATTTTAAGGAGTCGAATCGAAAACACAAGATCTAGAAAAAGCTTTTGACTGAGAGGATTTTCACCGATTTCAATTGAAAAGCAGCTATGGAGTTAATAAATGCCTATTTCGAGTTTCTGATTCGTTTTAGGCATTTTTAAAATTTTTCTCGACAACTAAGCCATTGATTTTTTTAATCACCCGAGTTCAATCGGAAGAACAGTTTGTGGGTTTTTCTTCTGTGTCATTTTTTCATTTCTTATTTTAATAGAGAAACTATGCTGTAGACTTTTAAGGCGGTTGTTTTGTGTTTTGAGTCGAAAAAAAAACGACCGATGCAATGTAGGACTGGTATAATTTTTTAAATGGCAAAGCTTCAATGACTTCTCGCTGTTTTCTTTGATTTTTTTTTCAATGTTCACCAAGATCATAAAAGTCAAAAAACAAATGCAATTTCATTTAGACACAAGTTGAGATGTTTGTCTAAATAATGGTTTATAATTATGGCGCAGTTTGAGAAAATTTTTGGAGATAATTTTACTCGTTTTAGGTCACCCGTGTTCTTGCAATCTACAGCGTCATCTACTCGCTTTTCGGAGTCATTCAATACGCGTTGATGTTGCCAATTCATATTCGTGTAAACGAGACGACATTTTTGCTAGGGGGAGCCGCGTATTTAAGCTCTGCGATTGCCCAAATTGTGCAGGCCCCCATTTTTCTTTTCATCTCATCCATGCGGCAAGCACTCCTGAAAACACTCGTCAGAAACGGACGCTGATTTTTAGCGATATATGCTCTTGCAAAAAATAGCAAAAAAATCTACCGGATACCAAATGAATGGCTTGAATCGAGACCTGAACAAGTTTATTTATATGGACCTTCCAAGAAAACAATTTTAGGCCATCCCTTGTATTCCTCAAGCATGAACAATAATTTAACCTTAAATATTTGTTTTCTTTTTTTACAAGAGAATCCGAATTAGCTAAAAAATATATTCCTGTTTTCTATTTATTTTTTTTCTTCAAAATTTAAATTCTGTTGTAAGCACAAACGGAATCCAGCAGCGAATTTCAAGATTGAAATTGAAATTTTTAGTAGTTTACCAGCTACATATACAACGCCAAAAGCAATATATTATGCCTGGAGGGAAATCCTAAAGAGCAGTACTGCTCATCGAGTAGGATATCCTGGAGAGTAAAAATTATTCAACAAACTAGCTCAAGCGAGAGGCTCTTTTCTTTTAAAAAAAATAAGATAAACTCGGGACATGCAATTGGGGTCCAAATTAAATCGTCGTCAGTTTATCAGCTAGAAAAACTTGAACTGCCCAAACTCTCTTACGACTTTTATTTTGCATGTTGTGCAATTTTTTGAAAACATTTTCCGTTATTGCAGCACAAAAGTTTTACTTGATTAAAAATGTGCCGAAAGAATCAGATCAAAAGGTAGAAAAAAATACAAAACCCCGATTGCTCCTTTTGCCCAAAGACTAATATTGACATTTAGCTGCTACAAAGACTTTGTTGAGGATATAAATGCTTGAAAAAAAAAGTTTTCGGCAGAATAAATCGGCCTGAAAAAAAAACACAATTTTTAATGGAACTTCAAAAAAAAAACGTTCATAATAACAAACTCAGCCATAAAAGACCTTAAATAGGATTTTAGAAAAATGTGAGAATTGTTGTTATTTATTAGGTTTTTTCCTTCTGACAATAGAACAGAGAGAAAAGTTGAAATAGAAAAATCATACTAATGAAAATCATACTTAGAAAAAATAAATGATAATCACTTTCTGCTTAAGCATCATAAATAATTTTTTCATTTTTTATGATAAACCGCACTGATAAAAATTGTTTTTTGATTGATTCAATTTGATTTCAAATTGAGTTTAAATCCATCCAAATAAAGTCACAATAAATATTTGTGAAAATGGGATTTATCAATTTAAATCGATCTTTCCTGAGATTTTTGGATCGATTTAAGTGTCTTAAGAAACCATTTAACTCGTTTTGGATGGATTTTCGAACTAACTAAAATCCATCCGATTCTTAGTTAAATCCATAGAAATCTTACCAAAAATCAGATATTTTGAAATCGAATTAAATTTTTTTTAAACTAAAATTACAAAATTATGAAATTAAGAAAAAACTCAAATATTATATTCTCGACTTTTTAGGTAAAAAACTTGCATCACAGATACATAGAAATTATGACAAAAGTCAAAACGGATCAGCAAAAATTGTCAAAATGAACCAGTTTTTGGTCAAAAAACTTGCAATTTTTTTTAATGTTCAAAATATACAGTTTTTTAATCTATTTTATGATTTCTGTTTTTTTGTCTACTCGGGACCATTTTGCTTAATTAAGAGCATACTGAAACTACTTCATTACGAGGCCAAACTGGGCATTTCATGCATTGTAAGCGTATTCTGCAACAAGGACGCTCCTTTTGTTCTTCTTTTGTTCTTTACTTTCCTTTGATCGTTCCAACAGACATTTAACATTTTAAAGACTTGTCTCTGGAATCCTGAACTTACAGACAAAAAATACGCGCCTATTCCAGTGCATAGTTTGGCCTCGTAATGTTTCAATATGCTTCAGTACAAGGCAAAACAGCGCATTGAATAGGCCACAATTTGGTGTGTGTGTTTCTCTTGAATTCAGAGATTCCGGAATCCGCTTACAATTAAAAAATAACCGATTTGACTTTGTAATTATGTGTTGTCACAGTTTTTCTATTTTGCTGGCGTAATTTTAAGAAACTTTTTAATTTTTAATTACATTTTGAACTATTGCTTCTGATGTTTTTATGACAATGATTTAGATTCGTTTGAGTGTTATCAAAGCTCTTGTTCCACAATGACAAAAAAAGCTTAAGATTGATGTCAGTATGGAAAAAAATCAAAGGGTGCAATCCATTGCGCATCCTTGTTTAATTTACATCCATAGCGCATGTTACCTTTTTTTGGGAAATCTTTGCATATTTTGAGCTCAAAATTTGGTCTGTTTAAAATATTTTCTGGACAAAAAACTCTTTCAATTTTGATAATTTTTTATGTCTTCCGTGCATGTTTTTGAGCTCAAAAACATGCAACAAAAACATAAAAAACATCAAAAATGAAAGAGTTTTTTGTCAAGAAAATGGTCTAAACAGAATATGCTCAGAATATGCAAGGATTTCACAAAAAAGCTAATACGCGCTATGGATGTAAATTGAACAAATATGGACAATGAATAAATGCAACACAAACACGAAACTGTTGAAATTTGAAAAAAAAAAAATCAATTGAGTTTGATTTAAATTCATTTTAATCCCCTTGAAACTAAAAAAAATAAATTAAGAGTAAAAATTAGATTTAGGTTGATTTGTTCTAGCAGGTTCTTAAGATCAATTTATATCATTTTAAAACAGATCCTAATCAATCTTAAGTGTTTCTATGTAAAAATTGTACTTTTTTATGTTCAAATCGATCTCAATTGCACCCTCAATTTTCCCATACTGATAGCAGTCTTAAGCCTTTTTTTGTCAGTGCGGGAACAAGAGCTATGATAACACTCAAACAAATCGAAATCATTGTCATAAAAACATCAGAAGCACTAGTTCAAAATATAATTTTACAATTAAGAGTTTCTCAAAACTACGTCAGCAATGTTGAACAACTGTGACAACACATTCTTACGAAGCCAAACCGGTTATTTTGTTAATTGTAAGCGGATTCTGGAATCTCTGAATTCAAGAGAATAACACACACCAAATTGTGCGCCTATTCAATGCGCTGTTTATTTTGTACTAAAGCATATTGAAAGTAGTTTTATTTTGCTCTTAATGATACAAAATGATCTGAAGTAAAAAAACGCAGAAATCGTAAAATATATTACAAAACTGCATTTGAAAAAAAAGGTACATAAGTATTCTTTTTTTCAATAAAATAAAATATTTTTTAAAAAAAGAAGAACGAAAACCGTTAAAAAACAAGGACAAAACATTAATGAAACACACCGTTAAGCAGTTAATGATGAATTGACTTAAAATCGACTTGGATCTAATTTTTAGCCGAGCCTTAAGATTAAATCAAACCGAACTTTATTTGATCCAATTCAATCTTAATTTTTTTCTTAAATGACAACAAATATATAACAGTCTTGAAAAAAAAACAATTATTCATGAAAATGACAAAAAAAACCAAGTTTTAAAATGTTTACCAAGTTTTGATACTAGCTAAAAAAGAAAAGTTTTTAAAAAGCGTAAGAACCCAAAAAAACTAGACCTAATCACCCGTACCAAGGGGATTTTCTTTTCAAGATCTTTTTTTTATTTGGATAAGAATTTCAAAAATTCTCATCTAAAATTTGAATCTGAATTAGAAAGGTTCAGATCTGAAATGAACTTGAAAAAAAAAATTATAAGACTAAAATTAGATCTGAGAAAGCCTATTTTGTTGAAATATAATTTATGCACCTCGAGCAAACAATTGAGTTTTTATTTTTTGATGATTCTCCAATAAACAATCATGTTTAGATTAACAAGCGGTAAAAAAAAACCTCCGATTATTTTCACACACAATTTTTTTTAAATAAATTTCTTGTTCAACTGATTAAAAGCTTTCAAAAACTGTCAGAAGACCTAGCAGTTTTTTGACTTTCAAGCGCTACTAATGCGTTTGCAATGGTTATTTCTTAGTTGAGGAAACATTTTTGGCAGTCTTCCCTTGCAGAATTTGCTTAGTACCTTCTAGTAGCTAGCAGAAGCTATCAAGTATAAAAGTATCAAAAATAGCAAAAATTGTGTCAAGTTCATTGATTTTTCAGATCTGAAATAATCAAGAAAAACTAAATTTCTGAAATAAAATTAGATCTGAAAAGGATATTCAGATCAGAAACAACCAAGAAAAACAAAATTTCTGATCTGAAATTAGATCTGAAATAAAGCGTCACTTTAACATTTCACATGACATTTCAGATCCGATAATCAGATTTGAATTAGAACATTTGAAGGTACGTAGCCATCAACGACCAAAATTGTCCTTTAAGTCAGTTTTTTGACATCTTTATTGGGTTGCAGTCAAACGCGCCTGCAAAAATTTGGCCATTCTGTAATCTTTGTCCGATTAAGTCACTGTGCTATTATCTAAAATTAATGCAAATGATATTTGTTTCGCTAATAAACACAAATAGTCTTATTTCGGTGTTTGTCTCTTAGAAGTGTTTAAAATGTAATAAAATTTTTCAAGTGCACCTTTCTTTCACGGAAACGTTGCTTTTGAGAATCTGTCAGATCACCCATAGTAGAATGAATTACTCACAAACAAAGCAATGCTGATACAAAAGTCCCATGATTGATACTGGTTTTATTTTCAAAAATATACTGCATATCTCGATTAAAATGTTTAATCCAGAAACAAGAAACGATTTCTTATGACAACGATTATGTTTTTTTTTTGAAAAATATATGTATCTTAGGTTTTTTCTTCTTATGAAAAGAAGGAAGCTTATATATCCCGTCAAGACTGATTGCGACGAATTGGTCCACTTGATACGGGAGCAACAGGTCTTTCTCGGTGTGTTTTGCCAAATTTAGGAACTAAAAATGCGAAAAGTTAATCGATTTGGTAATATGCTAGTTTCTGTTCTAAGCCGATCAAAACAATTGTCTTCTTTTTAAAACTGGTTTCGTATTTTTTGATGTGCTTCTCAACTAAACTTTTGGTCCTATTCTGAAACAGGAAATATAGTAGCTTTAACTCAGGTCAGATATCTATTTTTATTGGATAATTTTGT